TGTTTGTGCTTTCAGTCTCGAGACTATTAAAGCTTCATCTGACGCAGATCCGGTGGGCTAGCCAGAACCCACGGGTTTGGGCCCTCCGCTGTGAGTAAGGCGGCGCATGTGCTCATGCGTGCGTTTAAGTATGGTGTGTCATCTAAGGGCTATTGAGGTCGCGTTTCGGACAGAAACCCGATGGCCGTCGACTGTGCAATTAGCTAATCGGTGGCTGGGAGCGGTGAGAACCGCCCCGGAACGCGGGTGTACCTTGTGTACGCGTTGTGTTGGTCTCGCCGTGCTCGGAGGCGAGGGCGAAATAGTGTGTTTGTTGTTGCACTAACTGTGCTTGTAGTGATACCCGGCGGGGAAATTTCCATGGGCGGCGTTTATCACTTAAGGTGAAGTGAACCGCCAGCTTGCTTGCCTCATTCTCACAAAAAAAAAAATGTTCTAATGTTTGCCATCAATTAAAAGTGATCAGTGTAATCTTTCTCTGTGTGCACTTTCAATTTGAATATTATTAACGTGGTTTTATCTTTAAATTAAGCATCTCTTTATTGTACTGTATGTCATAGGCGTACAGTCGTTATTCAGGCGATATTCAATATCAAAATATTTTCACTTTACGGTTTCTAGCGCAGTTTCATCCTCTAAATTGTAATTAAAACCGCCGGTTCTTCGTTCTAGTTATTTATTATTAAATTTTCTATTAGTAGAAAAAAGATTGAAATTACCTTAATACTACGTAATTATCAATGCATTAAAGCTGATCTGTTACTGTGAGCTAAAACTCGATTACGAACTCTAGTCGTTGACGTTTGTTGTCTTTCTCTCTAATCCGTAGGCGTTGGGAACGTTCAGAGCTCGATTCCCTAGTTAGAATTTGTATATTTGTATTCTTTTTCTCTTCAAGCCGCTCTACTTGACTCCGAATTGTAAGATGATTTACACTTAAAGATTCCTCATTACAACGTATTTTTGAGGCCCTCGCCTGGGAACCATTTCTAGAAAGATGAGATCTTGATCTTTTGGGCATTTTATAATGATAAATAAAAATTAAACTGCCTTTGTACTTAATTATTTGCTAACTGTTGAACAGGCATTATCAGTATAAATGTAATTGAAAAAAATTATAAGAACTACTGTGTCAATCACTAAGCTGTTTGGATAGTTAAATTACAATATACTATCATTTTTAAATCCGAATCGTTATTATCTTTCGAATCGAATGTCCAAATTTAATAATTCATAAAAAATATTTATTTTCATAAGGATTAATACCAAGATACTCGCAAGATACAATGTCGCCGCTAGAAAAGGCTCATTATTTGCCTTTTCTAGCGGCGATATTTCAATCAAAATTTTAAAATAAAAGAACACTTTTTGTGGCATAACTATAATAGTTAGTCATATGCTGTTGTATGTGTTCTGCAAATTCGTAGTACATTATTTTATTCTATCATCAATAGTTTTCGCAGCGCACGCCATGTAAAGAATATTTTAGGTAATTTTTGTACGCTTTGGGTTACATTATTGAAGTTTTAGTAAGGATCCCTAATTTTTTGAAAATGTAATATAGCCTATATCATCCGGAGATAATGTTGCTTGCCAACAGTGAAAGAATTTTTCAAATCGGTTCAGTAGTTTCGGAGACTATTCAATGCATACAAACAATCAAATCTTTCCTCTTTATATAATAATAATAATATAGTATAGATGATAATCTCATTCGATTATTTTTAATAAAGATATTAGAAATAAATTATTATTAATTCATCCTTAATTCCTAATATTCATTTTAATTTAAAGTGTATGTCGGTTGGTGAAGACTACAACAGTACAGTTTAATTAGTCCGTCATGTATTTTTATTTTTTAAAGTGTTAGTCGCATAATTTTATTAATTCCATTAATAGGTATTGGTAATTGTTACGTTTTAACAGACATCGACGGCAAGAATGATAGCGGGTGATTATCAGAATTCGTTAGCCTTCGAAAACAGTCTTCGGTATTTCCGATATTATGACAAGTGTATCTCGTTATCGCGGAATTCCTTTAACGAGACTCGTACAATTTTAAAGGCCGGGAAGTTTAATTGCTTCGTCCTTGACGCAGTTTGGGGGTCAAGCGGCTTTAATCCAATTTGATACGAGCGCATGAAGGCGCGAGATAAGGTGTCGGTGCTCATTTGTGTCAAGAGCGACTCTGACGGTTATACGGGTCGTTTTAAAGTATATTCAAGCCTAAATTATAATCTAAATGGTCTTTTTAATGATGGCAATAAGCAGTTTTTTCGACAGTCGACTGACAGGTACTTGTGATAATGGCAAGTAATTCTTCATTTTTTTTATGTGAAAAGTTGTCAAACGAGCAGGTGGTTCACCTGATGTTAAGTGAATACCGCCATACCCATGGACATCTGCAACACTCGAGGGTTGGAGATGCGTTGAGTACCTTTTGAAAGTTGGGCTCCGGCTACCTCACTCACCAGACGTAACGCGAAAGTATACTTATTGTATACTTCCACTCTGAGTTGGTGGTAATTACCCGAACGAGCCTGCCCATTTGTGCAACAGCAGAGGCTGCTGCGTGGCCCTACCACCGTGACTTAAAATGCTAATTTCAATAAATTGCTAAAAATAATGATGTATGTTACAATTACAATTATAATAATCAACTCTAAAGAGTTTGTATTGATATTTGTTAAGTATTAGGATATATAATAAATGTACCGATTTTATTGTTCAAATGGCTGTTCTGTCTCTATGCAATTATGGTTGGGATAGAGATACAAAACTATGCTAGCTTTTGACATTAAGCCACAGACCGAAACTGTAGTGGAACATTTCAATTTTTATACGAGATTTGAGAGGTGCTAAGTTCGTGGAATAGGCTAGGAGCCAAAATAAAAGTTCAAAATTATTTTTCTATTTCTATATATATTCTTCTACATGACAATTACATTTTTAAGATATTTCGATTAGTTCTTATACCCTCATAAAAAAAGATTTTTCCAATAATAAGAGGTAAACTCCTTCAGTTCTTCATCAGTGGAAAATTTCATTCTGCAAAGCACTTTTTTCATTTTTGGAAAGAGGAAACAACTAGAAAACAACTTGGGCAGGGCACCAGTGCAAAACGGCTCTTGTGGATGACGATTTATCGTGTAATCATGACACCTCTGCCTAATTTCTCTCTTCGTTTTTCTTTAGCTTCTTTTAATCGCTTCAGGTATTCTGTTGCAAGAATGGGCAGTGTCGTCCGGGTAAGTACCACGACCTCACAGAAGACCAGCGTAAAGTGGAAGTATAATACTTTTGCGTTTCGTCTGGTGAGTGAGGTGGCCGGAGCCCATGGGCGGCGGTATTCACTTAACATCAGGTGAACTGTCTGCTCGCTTGGCAACTTCTCACATAAAAAATAAGCCATTAAGGAATTGTAAAGAAACTGTTTCAACAAAAAACTACCAGTGTACGATTTTATTTATTTGTACTGATTACCGATACTACAGGGATAAGCAAACCAAGCACTGTTCTAGATTAAACGACGAAGGAGTCTTATTTAAGTTCAAGTATTACGTAAGCAATATTTAAATGATTTATGATCAGTTTGAAAGGATATTTTGCATCATTTAAACAACTTAAAAGTATTAAATACATATTACATTTGTTCAGACATTTTTGGAATCATTAACCATAGAAAATAAACTAATCAATTCAATCACTCACTGTAGTCTCGGACCAGAAAAATAATAGTATTCGGCGTCACGAATATCGAAAGTGCAGCGTAGTAAGTACGCCGGACCGTTTGTAGCAAACATGCCTTCATCATAGCGTACCACCCGCCTGCCATCGTTTACAACGAGTGTTGTCAGAAAGGGAATGTGTAATTTTTCCGAGTTATTGGGTAACACATTTTATTTTGTTCTTAGTAACTATTTCATTTTTTAAACGATTAAGATCATTTTTCGATTTAATCGAAGGAAACCTCCTTACAGCAAATATACCATGGAACTGTCATTGGATAAAATTTTTAAGAAACTGCAGCGGTGAAGACCATTGGATTCCGTACAAAACAAGTGATATGTGCTTGCAGGGGTAGGGCCACACAGCAGCCTCGGCTGTTGCACGAATGGGCAGGCCCGTCCGGGTAAGTACCACGACCACACAGAAGACCAGTGTAAAGTGCATTATGACAAATACTTTCGCGTTTCGTCTGGTGAGTGAGGTAGCCGGAGCCCAAATTTCAAAAGGTTGTCAACGCATCTGAAACCCTCGGGTGTAGCAGATATCCATGGACGGCGGTATTTACTTAACATCAGGTGAACCATAATACATTTTGTTTATGTGAAGAGTTGCCACACGAGCAGACGGTTCACCTGATGTTAAGTGAATACCGCCGCCCATGGACATCTGTTTAGAAATGGGCCACACTTTCTAGTAGGTGGAGTCTGATAAAATGTACTTCATAAAAATATTTGTCCATAATATCATATTTCCAAATTCGAATTTATAGCAAGGGCAATGATCACTAAAAGGCAGGTATATAAATTTACTAATAATGTTTGTTTGAACGCCGTACCAAATAATGTGTTCCTATACAGTCAATTGAATTAAGTGCGAACTGCATCAGCGTTTTTCTTGACTTTTAAATTTTAAGTTTATTTTTGTCATTTCAATTAAATAACGTAATAAATAATAACATCTTATTAGGAAAATATATGAGAGAACTGGCAAAATATTTAAAAACAATCGGCAAATTTTCATTCATCTGGTATCCCTCAAATCACTAACACATAGATCGTATGATGCGTCACTTTCTTCGATATGCGTGTTGTGGAGATGTGTTATATTTTTTAACTTCGTGTCGTTAAGTTATATTTAGTTGTTATTGTTACATGTTTTTGTAATCGTCCATATTCTACAATTATAAAACTTTTTTAATTTGTTCAGTTGTTTTATTGGTGTTCGTGAAAAGAACCTTCTTTAGGAACGTTTGTCACGATGTTTCCGTCTTAACTTCTCGTCCCACGATTCGGCGTGAGACCAGCTTTCCCTTTTCCGTACGGAGGTTGACCATTTGTATCCAGATAATAATTGCCTTGTGCGCTAAAACATGAAACCAAACGTTTTCACTGGAAATTTTATTGATAACAGCCTGCAAAATAAACTCGTCTCATTACGAATATAGTGCATTCCACATTGGGACGGTCGAATGGACGAGTGTTCCGGACTCACTGGGGTCCCGCTCGTAAACTGTAGCAATTTGTCTCTGAGAAGCGGCGTACTCATGGACATTTGCAACACCCGTAGGGTTGCAGACGAGTTGCTGCCTTTTTATAAAGTGCCCTCCGTTACCTCATTCACCAGATGAATCACAGAAATATAACACTTCCACTTCACGTCGCTCTTCTGTGATTTCATGGTTCTTTCCCGAGCTGACTTGCCCATTCGTGCAGCAGCGAAGACTGTTGCGTGGCACTACCACATTCCGTGGGGATTATCACCGATCCCAGCCAAAGAATTGCAGTCGAGGGACACCGATGTCAGTGTGTATTCTGAACACGACCCTGTGCCGATCCGTTTGCAAAAAGCGTGATGTGTGAAAGCGGCTTAAGTTTTATAACTTAATAACTTTATAACCACTAACTCGTTCGACACATATTCTCCCATGCAAGCGATGTCCTCTGTTGTTCCGTTATTCTGTATCCAGGTTTCATAATTGGGTTCGCTGGCGGCTAGAAATGCGTCGGCTACATATATTGACTCAATGAAGAACATCCACGATCGCGTGTGGCTGCATAAACCTAGACACAATAAATTAAAAAAACAACTTATTGATAGTCAATCTATAGAAAAAAGTGAAAATATAACATTACATCTCGATATCAATCCGTTTATAAAATATAAAGGGGAGTAACGCGTGATCTGTTACTTGAGCGGCACAGGTGCTGGATTCCCAGTTTTTAACACGCTTACACTAGATTTATCTGTATGTATATATGTATGAATGTAACGGAATATTTAAGTGATTTCGCCCCACTTTGAATAATCAGATTTGAGTCATACTCGTACATTGCTCACTCGTCAAAGAATGGGTCTTTCAATTGCAATGTCTGACAATGCAATAATTTAAATAGTTTTTCTCATTATCCTGATCAGGGAATTCAGGATTAGCTAATTGCCAAATCCTATACCCGGTAGTGTCCTTGTGGCAAGTATACATTTAAAAATGTTTAAAAAAAAAACAAGATGATAGATATTATAATAATATATATTTATATATATTATTTATATATATATATTTATATATATATATATATTTATATATCTATTATACAGTACACTATGTCTTTTATTTTGTGCTAAAGGATCCTAAAGGCTATGTACTACGCCCCGACTTCGCACGGGTGGAATGAAGATATTTCTATGACTGGAAACCTCATTAAAATCCGTTGCGTAGTTAAAAAGATCTAAGCGTACAAAAATTGGGAGCGACTTTGTTTTATACCATGTAAAGATTTCCCTTACCTTCTTCGTTGAGCAGGGGATAAGGTCCAGTAGGACAGCCTGGCTGTACCTTGCTGGTGAGTCTGTAGTTGGGCCAGAAGTCAGCTGTACCTGCGCTTCCCATAATGCCGTATTGCCCCGCATCGCTATGAATGACGTCGACGAAACTCGCACTGTCCTTATTAATTCCAATAATAACAGTCAGACCTTCGTATAAGGGAAGGGCGGGGTCCAATCCTGTTATTCTAATGACAGAAACACGTTTTATGAAAAGAATAAAAGCTGTTCATAATTATTAGCAGTCAATCGCCAAAAGATGATGATGTAGCAGACCAGAACGATGATATATTTCGGCTGTTTTCAAATTAGGTACATTAATATTAATGTCTACTCCGCAGTATATGATAAAGGGAACTGTCAATAATTTTATCAATAAATAAAGGAATGGAAGAGTCAGCATGTAAATCGGTTTTTGAATTTTTCCTAAAAGCATGGCTATTATTGGATTAGGTTTGTACTAATGATAGTATCGAGTTTATGATTTTGACCATTTTTATTTCTTGTAAAAAAAAACAAACAAATTTCAAGTCTCTCTTCGGAGACTTGGATTGGTGGAATCTAGCCAGATAGGTCGGAAATATGTATTCAAACATAAATAATATCAATAACTGACTATTGAAAAGGGTATCGGGACACGTGTTCTTAATTAAATTCGAAGATGTGAATCTTAAGTCATATCAAATATGTCCCGATACTGGACAACCAATTACTACCTCAATACAAGGATATAATGATGATGGACGAAATTTTGTGCTAAACACATTTCTACTTGTTCCATGAAAGTATTTTATGGATTTTATTGCGTTTGATTAGATTTTTATTTATTTATTTATTACATCCATTAAGTAACAAAAGGTGTTAGGGTAATTAGTAAAATAGTTCTTTATGGACCCTGTTTATAGGGCATAGTACAAAACAATATTTAAATTACCGACGTTTCCAGCGTTTTTGGTTGAAGGTGTAAAGCAAAAAGAAAACCGTACAAGATTTGAATAGACTGTGTGATGATATTATGATATTATGGTGATATTATGGTGATATTATGGTGATATTATGGTGAAAGTGTTCACTAGTGAGGAGATGGCTAATAGAGAATGTTGGAAAGAAAAGCTTTGCTGGGCCCACTCCACCTATGGAACGCACCGGTATCCCTCGGTGTTGGGCGTGAGCACGCCTCGGAGAAGGGTAAACCTTCCCCGATTCCCTCGCCATCTTGCAGCAGCTCGAGGCCACTTCGAGCTGTCCTCCATGTCCCCTTTTAGTCGACAGGCAGGAGATACCTTAGTCCTATTCTATGAGCCCAGAACTACAGGGCTGGGGCCCACTCCACCTAGTGCAGAACAACGACACGAGAAAGAAGAACGGGGAGACACTTACCGCGAAATAGCTTTTCCTTGTCTCTTAATTAGGTTTCCTGTAATGCCGCTTACTTGTGCCCCCAGGGAATGGCCCACCAGATGGGTCTTGTCAAAGTCCAAGCCAGCGTCGGCCAAGGTTAACAACGCATCCGCGAACTGCTTTCCTATCTTTTTCAAAAAAAAAAGCAGTATCATTAAATTTTATTGCTAATTGCATGTTAACAAATACACTTTCCCCCGCATTATTACCGAACTAATTGTTTTTTATAGATAAATTGCTTTGTTACCGCATTAATTGATAATGTAGACGTGACGTTTGAATTTCCATTGGCCACCTTACTCAGTGCGCGAGATCTGAGGGTACCGTGTATAACTAAGATCAAGTATGTAATTCAGTATTTAATGTGAGGTGGTGGCAAGCGAGGGAGATTCGACTGATGTGGAATGACCTCTGCTCAATTACATTTACAAAAGCTGTGATGCTGCTCCGGTTAATTTTGGTCGGTTCCCTCACTCATCAGATTTTACGCAGATATTTATGTATTCTGCTATAAGCAATGTAGACTAATTAATACGCTATTAATATGAAGATAGATAGCTATAATGGGACGTAAACAAAATAAGGCATAATGGGACTAAAATGTCACAACATGGACAAACAACAAAAAGTAAAAGTTTACGGATTTCAGAAAGAAACATTGCGAGAACGATTGAGTAGATAGGACATCTTACTTCTGATCTGGTTTTGCAGCTTCAAATACAAACTTCATGCGATTATTCTATTTGTGAAGTTATACTTCTTTTCATTAAGTAACACTTTTTTAAGTTATACTACTTTGCGTTTGATGCGTGCGCACAACGACAGACAAAAAGCGACCAACTTCAAGGTGTAACCATGGCAACCAATAATAACTTTTTGACATTTAGGTACCTATAATTATAAGTAATCTAATTAAACCGTTCTCAATTGCATTTAATATCATCTTCACAAACAAAGAGTACTGGCCTAGAGGATAAAATTTTTATTTATTTTTATTTGGTTACACAAAAGAAGTATAAATTATTACATGCGTGCCTAAATATACACATACTTTTTCGTCTGCATATGTCGCCCTCTGAGATTGAATATGCTCAGTAAAACAGGCAGTAGACACTTTTATCTTCTGCTTGGACTATAAAACTTGAGAGGCAGCTTTGGCTGATTTAAGTAGAAGTAAAGTAACAGTCTATAAATGTCCCACTGCTGGGCAAAGGCCTCCTCTATACAGAGGGTATCAGGGCATAGTCCACCACGCGGTCCCAATGCGGATTGGCGGACTTCACATATTTTCGAAATATATTTTTTTTGTTATTATTTCGAAAATATTCAGGTTTCCTCACGATGTTTTCACCGCGGAGCACGTGATAAGTTAGCACTAAAAGTTAAAAACTTCATTGGTGCTGGCAAAGGGGGTCGAACTCAGTATGCTCGAGTATATTGAATTAAAGGCGAGCGCCCGGACACTGAGCTATCACGGCTGATTTAAGTAAGAGAACTATTCTTTTCTATTCATCAAGCAGTCCTGATTCTGTTCATAAGTACCACGCGACTGCACAGAATTGTGTTGAGTCTATTATATTATACTTCTTTTGGTGCGTTTGGAAGAGTTGGAGAGTAACATTTTTACGATACGCGGGCACATCTACAACCAAAAAGCGACATGATGAAGTTTTTTTTTTTTTATGGAGAAAAGGGGCAAACGAGCAGGAGGCTCACCTGAACGTTGGTTGCAAAGCGACTTCATCAACTTCACGGTGTTACCGTGAAGTTTACATTATACCTTATTGACATTTACCTATTATTAAAATTTATTTTATTATATGTTGATTACATTTAACCACTCGACATATTCAACTCACGATTGCAGTGTTTTTGACGGCATTAAAATATCCCATAATAACACCCATGACCCCTGTCTTTGCTTCCTCCCCCCAATCCAGCACTATCGTGTTGACACCGCCCCTAGAAATGTAAGCGGACATAACTCCCGTACACTCCTCGTTAGTCGAACTCCGGTTGTAACCGTGAACAAAGAACTTTGTGACGCGTTGCGTATCGATGCACGAGGAGTTAATAAGTGCCAGTGGTGACTCCAGCGGGACTATTTTCGGATTCTCTAGTGTTCTGAAAATATGTATAAACCTAATTTTGATTCGATTATGTAAAATCGATTAATAATTTGAGGCGATTTCGAATTCTTCTTCTTTTTAATTACTTATTTTTAATGCAAATAATAAACACTCACCCATTGTAGCAAATTAGTTGCGCCGCTTGCAAACATCTCGAGAAACCTGTTAGAAAATTTCATTAGCAGAACATTATTACTTTTATGAGACACAATTTGATTGCGGAGCAATGCTTTGGAATTAAATTGGAAAGGGCAGTTCCAGGTACTATCATACAACTGTAGGAGGTATGTACTACTTGAAACACACAGTAAAAACCTCTTAATTTTCTAAATCCACCGATCACAATGCTGGATACGGGCAACATGTGTGATGTTATTTCCATTTAAAGCAATTTAAGTAAAGGAAAGTAGAGTGTAATGAAAATAAATAAAAATTAGCAGAGACGGTTATCACACTCAACATGGAGTACGGAAATTGCACTGTAAGACTGTCTTCCTTGTTTTCTATTAATCTGTGATAAGATAACAACAGTTTTTCTCAGTTACGAGGAAATTTTCTGTAACTGACCTCTATCATGCCGACGTCATTAAATTATCTCTTGCAAAGTGCACGTATGCATAAGTTAGTTTACTGAACGTCATCACAATTTTTTTACGTGTTAATATTGAGAAAAGTGGCAACTTTTTCACAATTTTAAAGAAATGCTTGTGTCTGAACTTTTTTATATTACAAATTACGAAGATACATTTTGGAGAATATACATAAAGGTGGAAGAATTATGAGACATCATGAATTATAGTGCTCTTTAATGCATATTTAGTAACTTCTGATGTACGAAGCTGGCGCGAGGCCTGCTTTTAACGAGTCTCGGGGGCCCTTAGTAACTTCTGACGCTTTGTAAATGGATCTTGAACGATGATTTGACTTGATAGAAGACCGACATACACAACAAATTTATTATGAATACTTATACTACACGAATGGGCCGCCCCGTGCGCTACTAAGGGCTCACAAAAGGCCGGTAAGAAATGGAAGTATTACAATTTATCGTTATGCCCGGTGGTTCAAGAAACCGGATGACAATGGGAAAACTCATCTGAAACACGCATAGTGTCCTAAATGGCTGCTGCGGTGATCATTTTACATTAATTGCCAGGACACGATTCACTTTTTGAGGTCACAATTATGAAGAATAATTTTATTAACTGAATTACTATTTCAGATTACCTAGATAATATTGAATTGTGATGTCAATAAGCTCTTTAATTTTAAATTTGGCAATTTCAAATTTAGAACTTTTGACGTGTTCTAATCAGCCAAGAAATGGACTTATTTGGCCCTCGAAGGAATTATTAAAAAGGTACTTACCCAAAAGAAATAAAAATACTATCATGTCGGATAATCTCTTTCGAGTCATATTACCTATTTTTTAGCTATTTTCTAGCCGTGTCTATCTAGCGAATGAAGAAGCAGTTGACTGATAGGGGAAAAACAATTTCTTAATTATTCTAAAGTTATTCTATACCGTCATTTATAGGACTGAATTACTATAGCAATTTGTAATGAATGTAAGATAACTGGTACCTATTTGTTTGCGTATTACATATACTCGTATGTAGATAGCTTCCCATTTGAATATAAACGTTATTACATTCTATTCATTTGTTTATGGAGATTGATAGTATAATTACTGTAACCAGAATATTTCTGTTTTCTATTCCCGATGAAAGTTACGATTACGGATTTATGTGAATAAAACATTGTTTTTTTATGTTTCGCGCGCAAAATTTCCGTCTGTTTTTAGTATTTGTTGTTATAGCGGGAATAGAAATAAATCATCTATGAAAATTTGAACTTCACGTCAGACTATCACGGATTATGATATACAGCCAGGACAGACGGCGGACTCTTAGTAATAGGGTCCCATTTTACTTTTTCGGTACGGGACCCTAAAAAGTTGACGTCTGTTACCTCACTGACCAGACGAAACGCGAAAGTGCGTTTCATTTCCTGATTGCTGTTAGTAAGAAGCTGAACCAGGGCAATATTCTTAATTATTCTCTTTCTTTTCAACCGACATCATAGATATTTATAATATTAATAACTAATCTTATAATAATATTAATAACTATCTAGTTAAAATAAGATTATTGTTATAACCAGTTAATACACTATTACCTACTTTATACTTACGTAGGTCGTTAATACTAAAGTATGTTTAAAGTACGACAAATATTTATAGGATGAAGGTATTAATATAAATATAAAATAAAAAAAAACACAAAATTAATAAAAAAAAAATAATAAGAGAACAATTGCTGCCTTAATCCACTTCCTTTCATTTTTCGTTTTTTCTTTACGTTACAATGATAATAATTATTCTTAGTTATTATTTTACTTGGCACCGTCGTCAAAATTATGAAATTATTATTTAATAATTTCTGACTAACTAAATCAAAATCCGAATTCATTTGTGCTAATTAAATATTATATTTTACTGTATAGTTTCCTGTTTGTCGGTTTTTTTGTGTTAAAATTATCTGGCTATTTATTGTGGAAGGAGGAATTTTACATTCAAAGTGTTGCCATGGGGTCAATGATGAATGAATGAATGAATACTTTACTGTCCACCACACATAAAAGAATACACAAAATTAACAATAGACAAAGAAATTTATGGATTGCACAATTTGGCGGCCTTATCGCTTATGGCGTAAAGGAATATCTAATCAAATCAATCAGAAATCAATCAAATCATCAAATTTCTCCTTTAAATAAGGTGGAGTAGCAACATGAAATAGGACACAGTACGAAGTTGAAAGAATATGCAAATTCCGGCGAAGTCGGATGGGTAACCATTTGAGAACATGGTAATATTTACGCAACCCAAATATGAACCGAATGCTAGTATTTTGAAGTCTTTGAATTTTGAAGTCTTTCAAGCTTATTTAATTGGTCCTAAGTTATATCTATATAGCTGGCGTCAGCTTAACCAAGAATTGGAAGGAGAAGAACCTGTGCGAGCATAATTTTTGTAGAAATGATTTTTAATTATATAGCTGACAAATGTCCATACTGCGCGGCGCATAAACATTGTTCCGCTTTACATTAAATGACATATTATAAATGATTGTTACAGATGATATAGAACATATGATACGGAAAAACATAGCAGTCTATAGAATTGCAATCTAATTACACCAATTGGTGTCATTTGACTGCCGTAGTTTCGGTGTGCTAGTGTCATATTTATTTGTATATAATAAGATTGCCATGATGTATCTTTTATCGCCCATTTCTTACGATAAATCTTTGAAAAACTAAGAAAGTTCTTAAATGCATCAAAAACTAGTATGGTGGTGATCAGTTATAGAATATTCTGTGCCACATAATTTTTATTTCTTTTTGATGCAGAATCTTACAGTGCTGATTGGAGATATTTCGCTAATATTAATATATAAGCGAAATGTCTTCAAATCATTACATTCTCCAGCCAGCTTTACGATCTGCCATTACTGCTCTTTCATGAATACTTAAATTCCTTGGCATTATCAACTTAAGTGGTCGCCTGGTGGTCGAAATTCGACCATACTTAATTATGCATGGTAGTGTGCGTCATTTTTTTTATTGATTTATTGTATTATATGTGTAATTAATTTTAAATTTTTTTAGATATATTTAATCTTGTAAATATTAGATCAATAAACTGTATGATTTTGAGAAAAAAATGTATAATTTTTCAAAAATATTAGCCTTTATTGCACTCCTGCTCTATATAAACTATAAGTGTAGGAAATTTCAAACTCCTCCGTTCGTGCAATTTTCGTAAAAAGGGGTACAAAGTTTTTGCGGCACGTATTAATATTAGGTTGGGGAAAAACTCTTTTCGCAAATAGTATGTATGTACTTATAGTATAATCTCTTTGGCTATACCATTTGTATTTGGCTGGTTTTGGTATCATTAAAAAGTTTAAATGTTTAAAAAGATAATTCCAAATTCAAATCAGGAAAATGTGTGCTTTTCAATTGATTTTATTACTGTTAAGATGAGTGATTCTTACGAAGAAATTCGATACATTTTAAAATTTTACTACAAAAAAGGTAAAAATGCAACGCAAGCCGCGAAAAAAATTTGTGATATTTATGGACCTAGTGCAGTGTCTGTGAGAGTAGCACAAATTTGGTTTACGCGTTTTCAATCCAGAAATTTTGATGTCAAAGATGCACCTCGCTCTGGGCGCCCTGTTATGGATAAAATGGATGCCATTTTTGAAAAAGTGGATCAAGATCGGCATATCAGTAGTCTCGATGTAGCGGAAGAACTGGGAATTGACTACAAAACAGTTTGGCGCATTTGAAAAAAGCTGGGTATACAAAAAAGCTCGATATTTGGGTGTCTCAGTTCACTAAAAGGAACCTCGTGTACTCATTTATTGATTCATGATTCGTTTATACGACGTAATGAAACCGAACCATTTTTGAAAAACCTGATAACTGATTATGAAAAGTGGATCACGTACGACAAGAATGTGCGAAAAAGGTCGTGGTCAAAGGGTGGTCAGGCTTCACAGACAACAAAACCCGGGTTATCTCGCAACGAGGTAATGCTGTGTGTATGGTGGGATTGGAAGGGCATTATTCATTATGACCTGTTACCGCCAGGCAGGACCATTGATTCAGAATTCTACTGCGAACAAATGATGCGATTGAAGCATGAGGTTGTGAGAAAGCGGCCGAAATTAATAAACAGAAGGGGTGTGGTTTTTTATTATGATAACACTAGACCTCACAAATCTTTAGCCACTCAGCAAAAATTAAGAGAGATTGGCTGGGAGGTGTTAATGCATCCGCCGAATAGTCCTGACCTTGCACCTTCAGAATTCCACTTGTTACGGTCTCTTCAGAATTCTTTAGGCAGTGTCAGGTTAACATCACGAGAGGACTGCCAAAAGCACTTGTCGCGGTTTTTTGATCAGAAGTCTCAGAATTTATATAGCAATGGGATCATGTCCCTACCTATAAGATGGCAGAAATAAATCGAACAAAATGGCACTTCATACTTTAGTTAAATGTAAATAAACTTGATAAAAAATATTTTGAATTTTCATATAAAACGCGAAGAAACTTTTTCCTAACCTAACTTATATAGATATGGCGCTGGGTTATTATTGATCGCAAGAAATTCAAGAGAAAATATAGTTATGACACTGACAAATATATGACACTGCTGAATAAGTAATTGTTATGTTACGCGATTGTTTCAACAATTTATTTATACTCTAAATAATTGTCAAATGTAGGTGATGAAAACATTTTATGGCGCCCTTTTAATTACAATGATAATATTTCAAGTAGAGCCATTACAATTGTTATTCAATTTAAAGATAAATAATTGTATAGCGCGAGCGTACAAAAACATTAAAACTATGCCATTTAGTAAATTTATACAATTTATTTTTTATTTTTGGTTCTAGTCTCTGTATTGAAGATGAAACTCAAAACGTGTAGATAAATTGTCGAAAAAAATTTTCGTCGCTACCACGTTAGCACTACGAGCCTGCGCCTTATCGCATGTGCAATCTCAACGCATTTGTTTTTATTGCATTTTTATAACATGTATTATTTGTCTTTACAGCAAACACACTTCTTCAAGTGATATTTTTCCAATACAATGAATATGTGAAAATTTAATTTAATGACAGTATCTCATTTAAGCAAATTGACAATAGATGGCGTTATTATAAATCAGTTATAAGTAATTTTAAGCTAATTTTGTTAATGCATCAGTGACGATATTCTTTTTGTCTATTTTTCCCCAATAGCGATAATTATAAGATTTTAAATAGTGTTGGAATTATTAAATTTCACGAAGAATTGTAGAAGTTTAGTTTAGCGTACCGACAATAACCATGCTTGAGAAATAACATACAGAGATTATTCATTAACCTCGACTACCTCTGTCGGTCGTAAAATGAAACAGATTTTTAATTCAACTTCATTAAAATAAAAATGCTTATACCTACCATTATAGTATAATGCTTATTTATGATATATATTATAGAACTGCTATATTAAGATAAACCGAATGAAATAAAAGTAAGTTTTAAAAAACTATAGTCTTTTAAATTGTAAAGAGGGAGATCTGGAGCAATTAGTGTCGTCCATATGATACGCTTTTGCTTTATAATGCTCTCATTAGTTATAGTATCATTAAATAATGGTTTGCCCTAGTTGTTAGACACGAAGATCAGTCATATATTTCGTTTGCGAGTAGGTCCATTTAAACTCTATTGACAGTTATTAAAAGAGTTTGGTTTCTACCGTCACCAGCTAAGCTTGGTTTCAAACAAACTACCTGTAGTAGTGGTACCGGTGAGTACAACTACTATTCATCACATAATATTCGAATGCAGGTATTGGCGTCCTACAGCCAATACCTGTTATGATAGATTAAATAGAAATTTAATAGTATTTTCGAGTAAATCCGTGCTAAAATGCTTCATACCCAGTCTTTAGACTATGTCAGAGGAGGCAAGGGCGGAATAATAATTATCGTCTGTTCTTATATATGCTTGCAATAAATTCAGTATAATGTATTTTCCTGCGTGGAGAAATTAATGAACACAATTTCGTTTCTATCTGTCGTAACTCTTGATAAGAAAAGTGCGTTTCTTCTTGGTTCTTTTAGCACAGTAGATTGAAAAAGGCTTCACTGTAAATGTAAACCGCGTTTTTTGAAGAGAACTGGTACCCACTCACAGCAGATCTCAGCGATTACATTTGGAACAGATTTCAGACGCTCAGCGTGCCTATTCTGTATGTACACCATCATCCACCTCCTCACCGAACAAATACGCCAAAGCCAATAGCTTACCAACGGCGCCACCGAGTCAATGGTTCACAAGACCAGGAATAATAATGCGAATGCAATTTGAAATAAAACATTTTTGAAAGAAAACAAGCTTTTAATAAAATAAAACAAGCAAATTATATAGATAAGCCCTTTATTTACCTGGCCAAAACTAGTCTGAGCGTTGCGTCCATAACATCTGTGTCAGCCAAAAAAGCTGTTTAAATTGGGCGCTAAGCCATCTTTCCCTTTGCCGTAAGGAGATTGAGCATTGGTTACGAGGTAGAAATTACCCGATGCGCTAGAAAAAAAACGGAAAAAACCCTTATCTATCATGTCAAAATTGTACAATACTTATAATAAGACAGTCTTCTCTGTTTATTACCACCGTCTTGTTTTCGACGTCAACAGAATGGCACGAATAACTGACTCAAGTTTTCGTTTTGAAATCCGCTCACTCCATGTAATTTCTTATTCAGATAGTTTCTTAGAATAAAACAATGCTGTAATGTCAATATATATGTGTGGTGGTAATCACTTTGGATGAACATCTGGTTTTTTGCCACCTTGTTCCATTTAAAAATTAAACTATTTTATATCCCCTTGTAGGCGGAAAATGTTCAGAAGGTTACGTACTTAAGCGAAACATATTCTCCTATGTTTTCCACTCGCTCGGTTGTGCCGTTATTTTTTATCCAGGCGATGTAGTTTGCTTGGCCGGAGCCAAGGAACGACGTCCGATTGAAAATGGACTCTTGAAAAATTTCCACGGCACGTTCATGGCTACAGAAAGTTTCCGCTGGAAAGTATTAATTTATTAATGTATCCTTATTAATATCATAAAAGCTAAGTTTGTATGTATGGATGGATGTTTGTTACTCTTTCACGCAGATACTACTGAATGGATTTTAATAAAACTTTACAATAATATAGCTTATACATCAGAATAAGACATAGGCTATAATTTATATACATGTTTTATGTATATCTGTCTTTCTGTCTGAATGTTACGCCTTCAGCCTATTCTACGCAGACGTAGTCGCGGGCAGCAGCTAGTAGTTAATAAATAAAATTCCAAAAGATACAATAGCGTGCGTATCGTGACGTTACTGATTACTTTATGCAATTGATGTTTACTGAATATACTTACCAGTAACAAATACACTTACCTAAATTAAAGGCAGGACAACCGGGCTGTACGACTCTGCCGGCGTGATAGTTTATCCAGACGTCAACAGTTCCCACGGATTCACTGATGCCATAGCCGCCTGGATCGGTGTGTTTTGCGTCAACGAATTTTCCGGAATCCGTCGTCAATTCATTGTTATAGGAAGTAGGTTCTCCATAGAGGGGGCCTGCAGGATCAAGACCTGTAATGCTAATATTGAAATTCGGTTACATGACCTTTCTGATTAAGAGCCTCTTCTTTGCGAATAGTGTCCTAAGAATTTACGGGCTGCGTTTGTTTAAACAGTTAAGATTTCCTATGTGCTCTCATATACCAATTGATATATCCTCTTATTTAGATTATTCCCCTTTCCACCCTTTTATATCTCATCTCTTCATTTATTCAGCAGGCTTATTGTTTACTTTTTTATTTCATTCGCTCACCGTGCAATTTTCGGCACCCCGTCAGAAGAGGCCTTTTTACCCGCTACGCCACAAACTTGTGCACCTAGGGAGAGACCCACCAGGTGTGTTTTGTTCAAATCAAGGCCAGCCTCCGCCAGAATAAGCAAGGAAGCGCCAAGCTGGTTGCCCACCTGTCATTAAAATTATTCAATTGTTGCCCATATTCGTTTAGATTTTTTTTAATTGAGATTGTATGCGCTCGCGTTTCACCTGATGTTAGGTGAATCGCCGCCCATGCATTTGCAACACCCGTAAGGTTGCCGATGCGTTGCCACCTTTCAATTAAATGGGCCCGGGTACCTCACTCAGGCTACCTCAGCAGGCGAAACTTGGAAGTATAATGCTTCTACTTTACGCTGGTGTTGCAACTATAGCAACAGTAAATGTTACTAGTATTCATTTTATATGTAGGTAGCATATGGCAACTTTGTATTTTTCCTCTTCCGCTCCGGCGACCCTGGGCCAAATACACGGTTGAAACTTTTCCTGTGATTTTATTAATTACACCGCTCCACGAACACCAGTACCTACCAAGATAAAGGCCAGTAGTCCAGCGCCTTACAGCCGGTCTTCTGTGAGGTCGTGGTACTTACCCAAACGGACCTGCCAATTCTATTAGTATAATCTAATCTAATTAATATAATAATTGTGTCTATGTTAGCTCATTAGGTGTTTATTGTTTTTATTATATTCTATGTTCATTAGTTTTTCGTGAAACTACAAAATTTTGCACAGGTACGATAGTTCGTCTAAGAATTGTCAATATAATAATAAAACTTTTGCACAAAAATAAATAAGTTACAATGCAATTCTAACATAATGATGAGGACTTCTTGGATTTACTCTAATACAACAAGTTAAACTATTTTAAATGTTTTGCCGCGTTAAATTTTATTTTAAAAACCAATGACGCGACAACTTGGTCATAACGTCTGTTATTTAATAATATTATAAATGAAATGCGATTTAACCTGTAAAAAAGTTTTACTAACATAAAATACTCGTACAACAATTTATTCTATTAATATGTCATATTATATTGTCTCTCTATTCACCTTTTAGCCCTTGACTCATTATGTAGGATATAATATAAAACTCATATTTATTTATTTTCTGATGAGGATTAAACTATCGAGCAATTCCCAAATCTAGATCAATGGTATTGGCAACATCAACAATTATATGTAGGATGTGTCACTTCGTGTTTTTAACATTTCAACCCACCTTCTTGACATTAGACACGGCGCGCACGTAGCCAAGAAGGATGCCCAGGTTTCCGTCGCTAGCCTCTTCCGCCCAATCCAAGTAGAGTACGTTAGAACTGGCTAAGGATAAGTAAGCGGTGATAATGGCGATGGAGTCATGTGTGGTCACGTTGCCAGTGAAGCCGTGGATGTACATGACCGTGTCGAGAGCTGGGTTGATACATGACGCGTTATTTAGCAGAGGCAGAGGCATCTCTAGCGGCGTCGCTTGAACGTTCTCCATCGTTCTAAAAGAGACAAGCCAGTTACTTCGAGGTTCTACTTCTGGGAACAGTAAGACGTGTTAAATGTTAAAACGTGTTTTTGAAAGTATTCAACATTAATTCTGTGCAACATTAAAGTTTTGTTTTATTGCACTTGGTACACTAAAAAAAGTGGTGAATACTCACAAACCATAGGATCGATTTTAACGGGGTTTATGACAGGTTGACAGTACAACTTCCTCGCAATATTTAAGTATCGCTTGATCGTTATTAATTTACTTAAACAGAATATATACGTCATTAGCTACTGGATCAATTGGAACAGTTTTTAATTTTTTCAAATGACAAGGCTCCCAGTACAAAAAAAATACCTTCCATAAAAAATGTGCTATCAGTGATAAAATTTTAATCACGTTAACTTGAATTTTCAGTTTCATAATAAAAAACTAACCAAACTAACAGAAACTACCATCCAATTCACGCGGACGTAGTCGCGGGCAACAGTTAGTTATTATATATAGGACTACTAAGTAAGGTAAAAAGAGAAGTTAATTTATAGAATAGATCGCACGGTTTTGAAGTGTTTGTCACTATTACGCAAACAAATGGTGATGCTATAATTAAAGTATGTGTATATTGTTAATTTAGTTTAAGTTTGATATAAACATTTAAATGTAGAATAAATGGGTGAAAATAAATTATGCATTTGAAGAAGATTATAAACGAGTGCAACTTGTCTCACCTTACCTGTTAAAACATTTCAAATATGCCGCCTGCGTAATTTGGATGTACCCTGTAAAATATCACATTTTATTTAAAATATACACTTTTCATGGGGCTATGATGTTTTTGGATTTAATTTATGAAAATAAATCTAATTCACAAATAATTTATGTTCAACAAAATCATTATGAATTGCAATAAGAAAGGAAAATTACACACGGACTCGGTTATTATGAGAAAATTATCATATTATATTTTGCACTAACAGATAGTTCAACGCTGGATACCATTGAGGATTCGTTACCCTACGAGTCAAAATTTGTGTGATCCATAAAAAGTTGTTCTAAGTATGGGTGCCATTTTGTAACCGTCTGCTCGATCTCTATAAAGTTTTAACCTTTAGTAGTTCTGACGAAAGATCGAGTTATTTTATTACTATTGTAAACTATGGCCATGAAATGCCGTACAGTTTCCTTCTATACATCTGTTTAAACAACCGACTTTATTAATAAACTAGCGACCTGCCCCAGCTCCGCACGGGTGCAATGTTAAATGTTTCTTTCGACGTCCCATTAGAAACCTCTAAAATTATCAGTGATTCTCTACTAAACTATGCATGAATTATACATAATTATAAACCTTCCTCATGAATCACTCTATCTATTAAAGAAAATCGCATCAAAATCTGTTGCATAGTTAAAGATCTAAGCATATATAGGGACAGATAGACAGTGGGACGATTTTGTTTTATACTATGTAGTGATAGAAGACTATTGACTAGTGACGAAAGTAAAAAAATCTTTTTATTGCCAGATAGCAATTACATTATATAAATGCGAAATATTCTTAAATCAATAATTTCAATATTCAATATGTAACAGCTTACATGTAAAAGTTTGTTTACAAAACGCAGACATTTTTTAAAAAAAAAAGTCGTTATTTTAATTAATACTTACCAAGTCCAATCAACGTCAGGAAAATCTTTAAGCAACACATCTCCGATCTTCGCATCCTAATATTATACTTGGAGGCGACGTGATATAATGTAAGCGACTTTTACGATTATTTAAATATTTAATCTAGCATTTAAATATCTTAATTTAGCGTGCGAAAGAATTAGTGATTTTAAATTTATTCGTTTTCAATTACGGTTGAAGAGTATTCGGTTCCGAGGGGGACTAATATTATTAATTGTTTGTGCGACAGTAAATTTTTGGTTAAATATGCGCTAACTCTGCGATATCCTGTATATGGAATCATTATTCCAATAGACACTTTTCTTCCTCGGGCCGACTTCACAAGTTTACGTTAAATAAACATTACATTAACAAAAAAAGATATGTAAATTTGACGCCTAGTTGTTGTAATTTCTTCTTTAATTAAAGATAAATAATTAATTGTGAAAGCGAGCCGAGTGTATAATACGAAACGTGTAATAGTACTCAACATATAAGTAAAGTGAATAAGCCTTACCCAGTTTCCCGGATACAAGTGTAAGATAATGATGTTAGGAGATAAGAAATTTGATAAAATATTCATTTACCACTGAGGGTCGAAGCTGCGGCCTTAGATCTGTATTCTAAGTCCCATTTATTTTTGTAGCACTGCGCTCACAAAATTATCCGCATACAAAAATATATGTGTGGTAGGGTCACACAGCAGATCTTCTGTTGGACGAATGGGCAGGTCTTTTCTGGGAAGTACCGCAGGTCTGTCCGGGTAATGGTACTTACAGCTAAAAGAGTTTTTTATTTCAACAGAAAAAGAAAAGGGAGGTCGGTGGAAGTTATTGTCATCTAAAGGATACGCTTTTATTTTTCGTACTGTCGTTAATATAGTGTCATTCATTATGATCTGTTTCTGGTTGTGAGACCCTAAGATCATTCATACATTTCGCTTGTGAGTAGGCGTGTCTAAACTCTATTGATAGTTACCAACAGAGTTTAGATTCTACCAAACTTTACTGGTGGTGGTACCGGCGAGTACAACTTCGAGTACTATTCACACCATAATATGCGTATGCATTGTCGTAGCAATCTGAGGCCTGTTATGATAGATTAAATAGAAAGAACAATTATCTCCGTGCGGAAGTGGTGCTTTATACCTATTCTTTAGATTAAACTGAAGGAGGCAAGGGCGGAACAATTTTCGACCGTTCTTTTTTTTTATTACTTATTACATATCTGTACAATACAATAAATTCAGTAAAACGTATTTTCCCGCCCGGAGAAATTAACGTGTCCAATTTCCCGTTTCTAACTGTCATAACTCTTGTTAAGAGGAGTACGTTTCGTGTTAGTTCTTCTAGCACAGTAAATTGAAAAAGGTTGCACTGTGAATGTAGAATGTGTTTTGAGAAGAGAACTGGTCAATTTGAAATAAAACAGTAAAATTTAGTTATCCTTTTATTGTGTCAGCCAAGAAAACCCTTCAAATTGGGCGCTAAACCATCTCTGCCTTTGCCGTATGGAGAATGAGCATTGGTTACGAGGTAGTAGTTACCCCGTGCGCTAAAAAAGAAAACCAAAAAAATACCTTAACTATCACGCCAAAATTGTACAATCCTTCTTCTAATTAGACAGTCAGCGTCAAAATTAGGCAAAAAAAGAATAGGGAAAACGTGAACGAAATCTTCCATGATGCCTGTAGGACTGTGGCATTCACAGGCTTCCTCTTTCTGGCTGGTAGGTGTTGTAAGTTGCACCGAAACTTATATGACACCTTTCTCGAGCCCTCGCGGAGCAGCAGTTAATTCCACACCTGCCGCTCCGGGATTTCCAGGGCAGCAGTTGCCACACTTTCTCGCTCTGCGGCTTCCGGGTGACGTTACGTCCACGTAAAGAGCAAAAGCACCCCGCGACCTCTTATCGTCCACCGTGACCCGAGCCAAGCCTGGTGGCGATAAGTCGCGCCCCATGACAGCTATCAGCTCTAGGCCCTGCCCCTCCACAGGCTGGGTTCTCCTCCAGTGAGTGTTAGTTCTCCGGGGCATATACGTTGCAGTGATGGCATTCCACATTGGGTTCCCTATCCATCAAGTGCCACAGGTATCTCCCGAAAGGTAACATAACTCAACCCGATGGGGAATGAAATGGGCATTATTCTTGTATTCTGTATCAGGTCAAAGAGCTAAGCGAAGGGCTAACTTTCAGTCAGTGTTACGTACTAGATTATGTTACCTCTTCAAAAGCTCAATGGATGGCGGTCTAGGCTGTTTTAATGGCAGCCCTGTAGTCTGGGGCACATAGAATAGGGTAAGGTATCCCCTGCTTCTCATAAAAGACGACTAAAGTGTCCCAGTGTCCCCTACAATAGGTTCACGGACAACGGAGATGAGGCCTGGTTGTACTTTTCATTACATATACCATATCCGTTGCATATACCACCACATTTTACCGCGGTACAGCTAACTCTGTTCGACATAAGTCGCGATCACACGGTAGATCGGTGTGAAGTAGAGGAACTTATACTTTTGCTTTTCTTTTTCTTTTGTTGAGGGAGAAAAACGGAAATCCACTCGATATAATTTTTTCATTTGAATTAAGCAATTATGCAATGACAATGTATAAGGGTGGTGGTATTCACTTATCGGTCGATTAACGTCTGGTTTTTTGCCGTCATATTTCATTAAAAAAACATAACTATCGTCCCCCAGAGGGCGGAAAATGTTTGGAAGGTTACGTACCTAAGCGAAATATATTCTCCTATTATTTCCACTTGAGCGGTGGTGCCTTTGTTTTGTATCCAGGCGAAATAGTTTGCTTGGCCGGAACCCAGGAAAGATGCCCTATTCAAAATAGACTCTTGGAAAATTGCCGCGGAACGTTCATGGCTACAGAATATTTGCGCTGGAAAGGTTAGAGTGAATGTTAATAAGAGTTAATTTTTTTGAGTATTAAATTTTCTCTCGTATCCATTGCGATATAATTGAATTTCAGAAGTTTAAAAATTGTTAAGAAAACATGTACGTCTCTTTATATTAGAACGCCATCCCATGCTTCTACCTGTGATGCTGTGATGGATGATTTTTTTGATTGCTTTAAAAGAGTCACACATTTGTATGTATACAACAATTTGCCAGAGCCGCCGAATTTTTGATTTTGATTTTGATCCGTTAGATTTTTCAAATGACCGTGAAAGATCGGGAACTTAATGACGTTCAATAATATATGTTTAATAATGTTGTTATACTTTTTATTATATGACATATATAAGTGAATATGGCAGATGATATAGGACATATGATACGGAAAGGGACAGCAGTCTATAGAATCCCAATCTAATTACACAAATTGGCGTAATTTGAGCGCCTCCGTCTTGGTGCTCCAGTGTCATATCTACCTCATATTTACATATCATATCATTGCGGGACCGCATTCGATGATTAGGTCGACGTTTGTCTGATTTGTCTACAATAATCTTTCTCTTGACTGACAACTGTTTTAGCTGTATGAGAACGCAGTAGCTTCGGGCATAGAAATGGGAGGCTAGACCGGGGAAGACAGAAGACCTCCGTGAAGTGTAATTATAAAACTTTCGCGTTTCGTCTGGTGAGCGGTAACACGAGCCCACTTATTTTAAAGGTTGTCAAAGCATCTGCAAACCCTGAGGTGTTGAAGACTTCAGTCACATCATTAAAATTTGTAGAAAAAGTTAAGTGCAGAGATTAGCACTATAAATAATTTAAATTTTTAAATTTCAGTCACATCAGGTGCCTGCTCGTTCGACAACCTTTCACATAAAAAAGTGTAAGTTGGAATTTTAAACAGCATTTCGATCTTCTTCGGTTCTTTTGACAAATACACAGAGATATTTAAAAATTAACCTGTGGTTAGTTAAGCTAAAATTCCAAAAGACACAATAATCTCTTTAGTGATCGGCATATTTGTAGAATTATCACAAAGCTATTATCTATTACTTAATTAGGTAATTTTTGAAAACCACAATAATTCATACGTATAAATAAACTCGTGACGTGACTGATCATTTTATGCAATTGATGTTTTCAGAATATTCTCACTAGTAACAAATGCACTTACAAAAACTTATGGCAGGACAACCGGGTTGTACGACTTTAAGGGTGTGATAGTTTATCCAGACGTCAACTGTACCAATGGGTTTATGGATGCCATAACCGCCTGGATCGGTGTGTAACACGTCAACGAATTTGCCGGAATCCGTGGTCAATTTATTCTTAAATAAAATGCTTCCTCTAAAGAGGGGGCCTGCAGGGTCGAGACCTGTAATACTAATATTAATATTCAGTTAATATTTTTGATTATTGATTAAGAGCCTCTTTGGAAAAGGTGTCCTTAGAGTTTATGGACTGCCTTTGGTTAAAGAGAGTTAAGATTTTCTCTGTGTGTCTCGTCATTTATTAAGCATACAGCATAGAAATAGAAAAAATGCGTCAGATGTCCTGTCATTTATACCAGGCAGTCGAGCATGGATAAGTGCTGTATAAAATAAACCTACTATTATTTTCAATACGCTTATGTTCTCAAATTAGCAGATCAATCAGAATTATTATATTTTATTTCATTGAAAACCTTGCCAGAATATATATTTATTCAATTTTACCCAACAGATCTATTTCGAGGCTCCATCTAATATGCGGTCAAAATGAGAAATTTCACTGCTTTCAAAGACCAAAGGTATTGTTGTAAAAACTATTCAAAAGGTCAGAGCATTCCGGCATTGGAGCATTTAGTTGTTAGCGGTTAGCAGCTACAGTAATTGACCTAAACTTATATATTTTGGTAAATAAGGAAACTTGATTTGTTCATTCAATAAATTGAGGTGTTACGATAATACGGACATCCCTGAAATTTTCAACACCTAGTAAAAGTTCTCTCACCGTTAAGAGGACACACAAGGGGATACACAAAGAATTCCTTCCTTTTTTTAGTGAGATAAAACAATATTGCCTTGCTAACAATGAACCAATGGTCAGTTTTGATGTCCAGTCAATTGTAACCTAAAAGGGAGCTAAAAGAACATGACATGCCGGAATAGTATGCATTAGTACTTAAACATTGTCTTACATTTAGCTTGGAACGAGGAGTTCTACATGAAATTGGAGATTAGTAACTCTTTAACTTTTCTAGATGTTTTGGCCATCCGCAATCNTAATTGTGACTCAAAGTATTGTGACTGTCGTGACCAGTCCGGACTACTTTTTGGTCACATAATTTAGGCCGTTACACCATTATGTGTTTATCCCCTTATTTTTAAAAATTTCAGGTAGCTCATATTTAAAAAAAATTAATTTGAAATAATGCAAGGCATTATCCTCAATTTTATGATTCCACTCGCTTACCGTCCAATTTTCGGCTTCCCGTCACGAGAGGCGATTTCACCCGCTACACCACTAACTTGTGCACCTAGGGAGAGACCCACCAGGTGCAGTTTGTCCAAGTCAAGACCAGCGTCAGCCAGAATAAGCAAGGAAGCGCCAAGCTGGTTGCCCACCTGTAATTGAAATAATTCAACTGTTGTAATTATTCGCATACATATTTTATTTTTATGTGAGAAGGTGGCATGCGAGCAGGCGTCACCTGATGTTATATGATAACGCCGCCTATGGACGTTTGCAACACCCGTAACGTTCCAGACGTGTTCCGGCCTTTTAATTAAGTGGGTCCCGGCTACCTAACTCACCACACGAAACGCAGAAGTATAATGCTTCTACTTCACGCCGGTCTTCTGTGACGTGGTGGTACTTAACCCGACGGAACTGCCCACTGTGGTAGCCCTACCACAGTTAATGAAATAAATGTGTCCAAGTTAACTCATAAAGTGTTTATATTAGTATAAGTCTATACATGTCCCACTGCTGGGCAAAGGCCTCCTCTGTATAGAGGGTATTACTGAGCAGCTGGTAATTCAGCACTTAAAGTTAACAATTTCATTGGTGCTGGCATCGGGGATAGAACTCAGGTTGCTGGAGTATATTGAATTAAAGGCTAGCGCCCGGACACTGGGATCACGATTGAATCTCTCAAAAGTTCTATAAAAAAAAGATATATTCCATTAAAATACCATATTGTATCCCTCTTCACCTTTTGTTTAAGCGCTTGACTCACTATGTAGGATTTAATATTAAACTGAAATGTATTTTAGTTTGTGACGAGTATTAAACTATCAAGCAACTCCTCAATACTAGATAAATTTTATCGGCAACATGAGCAATTATATGTAGAATAAGTCGTTTCGTGTTTCGAACATTTCAACCCACCTTCTTTACGTTAGGCACGGCGCGCAAGTAGCCGAGAACCATGCCCAGGTTTCCGTCACTAGCCTCTTCCGCCCAATCCAAGTAGAGCACGTTACAAGTGTTCAAGGACAAGTAAGCGGTGATAATGCCGATGGCGTCAGGCGTGTTCACGTTACCGTTGAAGCCATTAATATACACGACCGTGTCGAGAGCTGGGTCGATACACGACGCGTTAACCATCAGAGGCAAAGGCATCTCAAGCGGCGTCGTTTGAACGTTCCCCATCGTTCTAGAAGAGACAAACCAGTTACTTCTAAGTACTGCTTCTGGAAACAGTAAGGGAAGCGGATAAGTGGAAAGAGTGTGTAATAGTCGACAATTATGCGCAACGAAGGGAATCTGATGATTTTTTTGGTTAAAGAAATAAACATAGGAATGTAAATGAACGAGTTTTCGAAGCCGTTAATAAATATACGTCTGTTATTTCCTGTAACATCGAATAAAATGTCCTAGTATTATATTGCATGAAGTGGAGTTCATAAGATTTTATTGCATTTGCATTAATTAAGCATTATTTTATTAAATTAACCTCATGTTTGAACAAAGTAAACAGAATTATCTTCTTTACTATAATAAAAATGTAACTGATCATTGTCTGTACATGGAAGATAAATGAGCAAAAATATTATTGGGGTTTTTATAATTTTTGTCTGTTTGTCTGTGCGTTTGTGCGCGCTAATTGAAATGGCTTAACCGATTTCGATGCAACTTTCATTAATGCATTGTAGTAAGCTTCGCTTAACATCTAGTGTTAATTTTATTTAAATCGGTTCATAAATAAAAAACGTTATATTTACTTAAAGAACCACGTAAGATTTATTTGATAAAATGCTATAAAAAAATCATAGTTAGAAAACTCTATTAAAAAAAAAAAAACTGCTAAGGTAGAAATGTACGTTAATTTAAAGAATAAATCGCACAGTTTTGTAGTGGTTAAAGAAAGTGCATATTGTTAATTTAGGTTAAGTTGGATGTAAAAATTTACATATAGAATAAATGTGTGATAAAAATAAAATTATAAGTAGATAATGAATGTCTCGCCGTACCTTTTAAAACATTTCAAATACGCCGCCTCCGTAATTTGGATGTATCCTGTAAAATATCGCTTTATTATTTTAAAAATATAAACTTTTTATTATATTATTAGAATTTAATTTATTAAAACGAAGTGTCAGATTCACAAACTCACAAGGATATTGCCAGAGAAACGATTTATATTTCTATTGTTTTGTTTCTCTTTTATCAGCCTTAAATTACTGAAAAAGTTTCAGCTTCAGTATTAAATAGACAATTTAATACTGAATTGTCGTTATTTATATTGTATGCTATCTTGTAATAAAGTATCTATCTTGTGCTTATGTCTATTTGGTAGATACACAGTATCTTAAGTTCATTATAGAAGATTAATAAATTTGTTTATGTCAAAAAAATTAAATATGTCATTATAGTCTAAAAGCTAGCAAGCTTTCGAGAGAGAATTTGAGGTAGGCCAGTTTTTAGATAGGATATCTCTCTCACTCTCCCGGATGTCATATGGGCTATCTGGGTGGCGGTAGAGGTTGCACTGATGAACGCAGTATAGAAGGCAAGTTTGTTTATAAAACGCATTTCAATTAACTTCTCCATATTTTTTTTAACATTATTTAAACGAAACACATTTCAATTAATACTTACCGAGTCCAATCAACGTCAGGAAAATCTTTAAGGAACACATCTCCAATCCTCGCGTCCAAATTTTTACTCGAAGACAACGTGAATAACGCAAGTGACTTTGACGATTGTTTAAATACTTATCATTTGTTTATATATTGCGTGCGAAAGAATTAGTGATGTTAAATTTATTCTTTTTTGCAATTAAGTTGAATAGTATTCGGTTCCCAGGGGAGACTGATATTATTTAATGTTTGTGCGACAGTAATTTGGGTTTAATATACGCTGCAATATTCTGTATTTGGAATCGCTATCCCAAGAAACACTTTTCATCCTCGGGCCGAGTTCAAAAGTTTATCTTAGATATCACATTCTTATCATCATCATCATGAATAGTGGAGGTCTTGCGGCTGATGATGATAGGCCTCCCTCCTCTTAGAACGCCACAACGAACGACACTTTGCCATTTGCATCCACCCATTGCCCGCGAATCTAATAATGTTGTCGGTTCACCTAGAGGAATATGGCTTTCTATGGATTCTATGGCTTTCTATGGCTTTCCAACATTCTTATATAGAACAAAAAAGATATGTAAATTTTACGCCTAGGTGTAGTTATTAATGATAAATAATAAATAGCGAAAGCGAGCTGAGGGTATTATATACGAAACGTGTAATAGTATTCAAGACATTATATTAGTACAATGAATAAGCCTTTCACTTAGTAAGCCTCACGCAGTTTCCCAGATACAAGTGTAAGATACTGATGTTAGCAGATAAGCTATAAAAAAAATCATAGATAAAAAAAATTTTCATTCGCCGTAGAGGGTCGAAGCTGCGGCTTAGATCTGTAGTCTACGTCCCATTTGTTTGGGTAACAGTGCGCTTACAAAATTATCCGTATACAATAATATATCTGCGGTACGACCGGTAGCTTGTTGCTGTTGCACGAATGGGCAGGTCTGTCCGGGTGAGTACCACGAACTCACAGAAGACCGGCGTGAAGTGGTGGGTGAGGTAAACGGGGAAGGGTTAAACGGGACCCTATTACTAAGACTCTGTCCATCTGCCGCCAGGCCGTATCTCGAGTACCGTGATAGTTGGACAGTTGAAATTTTCCCAGATGATGTATTTGTTGCCGCTATAACAAAAAATAGAATAAAAAATATGTAAGTGGGGCTCCCATACAACAGATTTTCACGGTCGGTGGTAGGGCCACGCAGCAGCCTCGGCTGTCGTACGAATGGGCAGGCTCGTCTGGGTAAGTACCACGGCTTCACAAAAGACCAGCGTAAAGTGGAAGGATAATACTTTCGCGTTTCGTCTGGTGAGTGAGGTGGCCGGAGCCCAATTTTTAAAAGATTATCAATGCATCTGGAACCCTAGGGTGTAGCAGTTGTCCATAGGCATCACTTAACATCAGGTGAACCGTCTGCTCGCTTGGCAACTTTTCATATAAAAAAAGACATTATTTTTTTTTGCCGTTTCTATAGATAATGGTACGGAACCCTTCGTGCGTGAGTCCGACTCGCACTTGGCCGGTTTTGATTTGGTTGCCAACGCATCTGCAACTGGTAAAGTGTTTTAGGTGTCCATGGGCAGCGGTAATCACTTAACCTCAGGTGAACTGCCTACTCGTTTGCTATCTTATAACATAAACAACACACTATGGAACACACACGGCCGGTTTCAATATTCTATCTATCTGTAGATTTGGTTACTGGAGATAGAATTTTGATGTAAGTATTATGGACCTAATGTCAAATACCTTTCGCTAGTAACCAAATGTACAGATATATAGAATACTTACTAGCTGCTGCCCGCGACTACGTCTGCGTAGAATAGGCTGAAGGCGTTACATTAAGACAGAAAGACTTTTAAGACCGATATACTTAAAAATATGTACATAAATTATAGCCTATGTGTTATTCTGATGTATAAGCTATATTATCATAAAGTTTCAATAAAATCCATTCAGGAGTATTTGCGTGAGAGAGTAACAAACATCCGTCCATATATACAAACTTTTGCGTTTATAATATTATAGTAAGGAAGTAAGGATTGAAACCGGCCGTAAATGACTAAAACTATGGATTGCTTTTCACGTTCTATACATACACCTTTCGTACACTTAACTTAGGTACACACATGATTATATACAGCATCAAATGTACAACACTTTCGCAAATGGATGAACCTAAACCAATGTATTAGCATGTGAAGGGTGGTTGAGAAATAATTATTAAAACAGTCTTAACGCAGGGCTCGTCTTTAACTCACGTTCCCCGTGCCCCTACAACATACTTTACATGGCGCAGCCGGTATTTAAAAAAGGACTAACGAAAAAGAAATTATGAGTAATTAGAAGTGAATAAATAAAGAATAAACAAATAAGTGTAAAAGTAGTACGAAAAGTGAAAGAATACGAACAGTTCGAAGTACAATGGAGGCAATTTTACAACCACCCTCCACATGCTAATGCATAATATGACACTTGGGACTACCTACAAGATCTCTTGCGAGACTTTCAGCCAGTGGGGCGCCGAAAATCGTGGTCTTTCCCTCTGTGCGGGGCACCGTTACATCTCTATTTCTATGTTTGTGAAAGAGACTAATATACATACACGCTTCCCGCTTCAAGTTTGATTCAATGGTTAAGTAAATCAATGTTCAATTGGAGATCGAAGAGTCCCAAACGCACTAAGTAGTGATATTATATCATAGTTGCGTAAAGCCTAAAAACCTTTTAAATCTCCTGAATTGGAGGCCTTGCAGACGCACGGAGTGAAGAGCGTTGGTTTTAGTCTTGTGCCTGTTCTGTCATTTAGGCAAGTGTTCTGAACTAGTTCATCTCGGACAGTGAACTAATTCATTCTATTACTTCTATTAGGTATTAGTGCTATTCGAGTGACGGTAGCGTGAGCCATCGCGTTTGGTTTGTGAAAACTACGCTGAATACCTATTTATAACATTTTAGTTTCTTTTTATCGTCTAATTGGAAAAGAAAGACAGGAAGCAGAAAGAAAGAAATATTTATTCGGCGCATTACATTATAGGAGAAAAATAAAGAACAAGAAATAACACTAGGATTTATGCACCAAAAAGGTTTCCGCTCAGTATATAGCCGTGGCAGAGAATACCACGGCACTGGTTTTCTGCGGACACCTTGTAAGATTTGCGTTCAGCTCTATGCATACAGCCAGAAAAGTTGATTCAACAGTGAGTACAGAACTCAAATACTTTTTACTTTTACAACAAATACTTTACAGGCATCCAACTAAACCAAACGAATACCAAATGACATATTTTGTACATTGCAATCAATTAATGTGTCTACCATGTTTCAATGAAAATCAGTTTTCTTAAATAAATATTGGGTGACTTAAAATTGTTTAGAGAAAATTAAGGAATATGGGGCGAGAAGAAGAAAAAAAAAATCGCATCTCCATACAACTTGTGCGATAAGCTGTTAGTCTTATTATAGAAAGTAGAAATTATTTTTCAGGAATTTTATATCGGTTCCTGGCGGAAAGTTGTTCAGTTTCATGGGGAGAACCACCCCCTGAAGTTTCGCTGACTAATTTAAAGTCACCCCATATATTTTTACTTATTACTTGTTTAATAATATATACATATAGAATTAAATTAAGTTTAGAATTAAATTGAATTAAGAATTAATAGAAGAATAAACTAGATATTAATTTTATAATTATGAATATGATTATTACATCAATAAAAGTTATTATTTCATTACTTAAATAAAAGCTTGAGTATCGATAATTGCGATTTAAATTTAATTTCACTTCACTAGTCATCACTAAAACAGCACTATCATTGGGTGCCATGCGCGATACTATATATAAGGTCAACCGGGGTAATTTCGTCGTATTCCCCATTACTTCAAGTTATTTCTATAACGTCAATCCTCATGGGTCAATCCCTGTGTATCATTTTCCCAGTTTGACGCTAATACGTATTTAAATAAATACTCAAATGGTAAGCTATTCCTTAGATATTAAATGAATTTTATTTGCTTCATTTTTGTGCATGGTTATGGAAGCTAAACTAGACAAAAAAAAAAATAAAGGATGCATTTAAAGATGATCTAGTGCAAATGTGTAAAATGCACTTATTTCTCACAGACGTATTTGCCCGATGCTAAAACCAGATGTTCTCAACATTTTGCTTAGGTGAGGTAACTTGTGCAAGGACTAAGTATGAAGTTATTATAGTGGTGACATTTTCGAAAAAAAAAATATAATACTATATTGAACTTTATTAAAATTATATGAGGCACTGGTCGGTCAATATTTCGATATCATTGACAAAATTACGAGATCAATTTGAATTTAGAATCTAAGAAAACGATCTACAGGAGACAAATTCTATTTCATAAAAATATGGCGCAACTTACACTTAATAAATTGTAATACTCAATTATATTATCTAGTTTCTTATTCTATTTATTCTTAATTTGATTTAATTCCAAACTTAATTCTATATATTAATAAACAACTAATAAGTAAAGTAGGACAGACTGGATAACAAAATTCTGTTAGAAATATACAAAAATCTAATACTGTAATAACGGTAACTAATGTGGTATGGTGAAAGGCACGAGTTATAAAAATATGGCAAGTTCTTATCCTACCCACGAAGAATTGCCACTTCTAAGTGTAGTAGAGTAACATCTCGCGGGTATGTTGGTAGGATGAATATAATGCTAAATACAAATCCTCATACTTAAACATTCTCCGATAAGACTAATTAACAATAAATGGAATAAAATGGTTAAATATAATGGTCTGGAATAAAATACTTTTAATGAAAAATAAAATCTTCATATTAAGGTTTATCATATTTATGAAGAAGTAACAGATATAAAAATGTGACATCTGCTTCACGACTAAATATTTAACTTTAAGTCACAGTAACTTTCAGGCGTAAGATATCAATGTTATAAAATTCTGTTACAAATAGAAAAATCAAATCAATAATAATTTGGTGACTACTGTAATATTCTTAAGTTGTTTATTGTTTTATTGTTGTTATAGCGGCAACAATACAATACATCATCTGTGAAAAGTTCAACTGTCAACTATCACGGTTCATGGTGACAGACGTACAGACAGACAGAAAGATAGACAGACAGACACAGACAGATAGACGGAAAGGCAGACAGTGGTTTATTACTACTAGGGTCACTTTTTACCCTTTGGGTACGGAACCCTAAAAGGCAGATCTTCGTATTTTTCTTGATGTATAATAAAACGAACATATGCTAATAGCATAATGCTTTATCATCATGCATGGTTGACTCGTCCGGCTATATAGAGAAATGAATCGTTTGCAAATAAATACTCCTAGCAAGCTTCTTTTCAATACGTCTTTGGACTGTGTTGTTGTTTAAAGGAATCTATATATTAATAACGTGAATCAAAAATTTTGTACCCCTTTATACGAAAACTGCGCGCTCGGAGCGGTATGAAATTTCCCACACGTATAGTTTATCTATATTTTAATACGCGAAGCAAAAATTTTGTACCCCTTTATACGAAAACTGCGCGCACGGAGGAGTATGAAATTTCCCACACATAGTTTATATATACATTAATACGTGAAGCTAAAACTTTGTACCCCTTTATACGAAAACTGCGCGCACGGAGGAGTATGAAATTTCCCACACTTATAGTTTATCTATATATTAATACGTGAAGCAAAAACTTTGTACCCCTTTATACGAAAATTGCGCGCACGGAGGAGTATGAAATTTCCCACACTTATGGTTTTATAGAGATGGAGCGCATAATGCTAATATTCTTTTAAATAATGCACCACCACTTAGTTCATTTAATGATATTAGATGCAAATTCAGGTTGACACGGTGGCGTAGTTGCTAAGCTGATGGCTTCAGCGCCATGGGTCGTGGGTTCGATTCTCACACGGGACAAGTATTTGTGTGACCCACAGATAATTGTTCCAGGTCTAGGTGTTTGTTTCCAAGGGAGGTTGACGTCTGGCAGGCAGCTGGTCGTAAAAGTTCACCAGCCTGATTGATAAGGGCAGAAGGATGACGATATCAGATGCAGATTTGTGTTGTGTTGTAGTAATCAACACGGTATTATCTGTAAACATACGTAGCTGAATCTAAAAAGAAATGTATTTAATGTGAGATTCGGCTATGTGTACGGCTAAACTGATATTAAAGTTTTCTGTGAACAACAAAACAGACCTTTTTTATGTAAGGAGGCAAAGAAACAAGCGGGTCACCTGATGGTTAGCGATCACCGCCACCATGGACACTTGCAACATCGGAAGAGTTACAAGTGTGCTACCGGTCTTTGGGGTATGAGTAGGCTCTAATCTTAAAGGTTCCTATATCGTATCGGTCCGAAAATACCACTGGCGTTATTCGTTCCACAAAGTGTGGTATAATTAATAAAGTTTCACGTTTGTCTTGTTTTACAAATATAAATTTGTATCTCCTTTTTCTTCTTCAGCGTGTGTTCGCCCATCATTGGGCATACGTCTCCAATAAAGTAAAGATTTAAATTTTTCTTTCATCATCATCATCATTTCAGCCTGTTTCAGTCCACTGCTGAACATAGGCCTCCCCCATAGTCTGCCACTAAGTACGATCCTGAGCCACCGACATTACTGATATGATCGACATTTGCATAGGTCGTCACTCCATCTAGTGGGGGGTCGTCCTATACTGCGATGGATATTTCGTTTTAGATTGATACTAACTTTTTCAATATTTACATTTTTTTTAATAACTTTAATTTTATATTAAGTTTTAGGGTAAAGTAATTTGATAATTCAAATTAAAATTTATTTTGACCCAATATTAAAAAGAATTTCCTATTATTGGCCTTCCTATTATACGCCGTGTGGTGTCGGCGTAAGAATAAGCCACCCCATCTCATCCCGTGGGTGTCGTAAAAGGCGACTAAGGGACAATCCACAAACATCTGGTGTCCACCCATAGATGGCGGGATAACCATCTCAACTCTCCAGACCCTAAATATCCGATAACGGGCAGCAGCCAACGGCCGTCGCCAACCCGCTTGCCAGGCGTGGCAACTATGGCAAAAACCCCTCTTCATGATGGAAGTCCAAATTTTTCTTTAATTTTAATTTATAGAATACTGTTGTTAAAGTTTTAATGTAAGTAGTAGGCAACATGACCGTGACCTCTCTCGTGCTGAAATTGTCCTTGCTTAGCAGTTCATTTGTTCAGTCACAAGATCATATTTTTATTAACGAAAAACAAACCCGACTTCAAATATCTCGCTCTGTATTCATATTTTTATAATTGATTTCTAGTAATCCCCGGAGTATCTTCGGAGCCCAAGATCCAATACCAGTGATATCGTGAGACCACATTGGAAGCACCAGCTTTCAAATAAAAAAAATCATGAAAATTAGCTCACTCAGTCAAAATTATGAGGTAACAAACATAACAAACTAGCGTACACTCGTAAGAAGTGAAACTTTTTTATGACGTTATTTTTCAAAAAATAATTTACTATATGCAACTTTACAGAAATTGGTTAAATAAAGTTAAATTAGATAAAGTTTAATAAAAGGCTTTTATTATCATAGACATAAATACAAATTCTACAATTATTTCATTTTAGCTTTGTATAATATTTAGTTTCTTATTTGTAATAAATAGGTGGCGTTAGTAGTAAATTAAAACACACTATGGTTTGACCGTTGTAATTAGTATGAGGGTCCGCAAAAATTGTTGATTAAAAAACTTGCAACGTGAACCTTGTTTATTTCAATTAACCTCACGGACCCAAAATACAACCGCTTTGAATTTGTACATGGTCCTTCATTGCCGAATAGTCAGCCAGTGAGTAGAAGGCAGACATTCGACTCGCGCGCGAGTGTTGTGAGTGAAGTTTTTTTGGAAAACCGAACTTGCGGACGTTGGATCGACGTCGTATCCGCAAGTTCCAGGAGCCGATCGAGGCTTCGAAGAGCATCATCGGTCAGCTTCAGATTGTGTCTTCGGTGAAAGGCGCAGTCAGGTCACGGTGGGCGGTGCCTGCCTTTGGAGAAGAGGAAGTCTCTACAGTGTCGGCCTCTGAAGTATTAGAGCTAGCACTGTCATTACTACAAATATTATTATTGAATTTCATTAATTGTAATAGAATTATTACTATCATTGATGTCGTTATTATATATTCGTGTTATTAATGGCTTATGGTAACTGAAATACGAAATATATTGTTTACATTTTAGAATTAGAATTAAAATAAACCCTTTGATTTTGCTGATCACTTTAATATAACATATAACAACAAACAACAAACAAACGTGGGAAATATCGCCATCTAGCGTCAACTATTAAAACCACTAAAGAATAAAGACGACATAAAACCCCCTATTCAACACAAGATGGCGTTAGAGGAACATTTTAAGATAAGAAAAAGATGGCGCGTAACGCAAAAATGTTACACTTAATTTTTTTCCAACCCCGATAAAAAAGTTTCACTTCAAAAAAATGCAGTTGAAATGCAATGTAGAAAGAAAGGCGTTAAGATTTTCGTCGGTGTGGCAATCAGCCGTTTAGCTTAGTGGCTAGAGCGTCAGGCCGCGAATGTCGAAGACCGAACCCACGTCTTTCCACAGCGGCGACAATCTTTTCGTACAATTTTTTCTACAAATTTAAAATGCAGTTGAATTAGGAACCTCCTCCTTTTTTGAAGTCGGTTGAAAATAAGATCTCTATCGATTACTAAACAACATTTACAATTCACATTCATAACACAAAAGTAAATATCAAAATATTTTATTTGTTTATTCACATAAGATACATACTTACATACTTTTTAAAACTCAGCATTTCACATTATAGTAACTTGTTTTGATTATACTATATATCATACACGAGGCCCCGCTTACCTGTTTTGGTTCAGACGTTATAGTTTAATTTTATTTATAAATATATACTTTCTACTTTTATTTTCCAAATCTATATTACAAGTTTTTTTAATGGAGACAGTGTTATGATGTCATGTCATTTAAATCAGTACACATTTACTGATGCTTTATAGTTTTTCGGATTCTATGAGCTTTATTGATTTGGACCTGTGTCTGATTCTGTCGGTCGCCGTGGCCAGAGTGGCGATTGTGTTAACACGTCTTTTTTGAATTTCATTGAAACCCATGTAACCGTTGCGGCGTGAAGAAATATCAAAATTTTTCATTTATAAATAAGTCTTAAACTAAAACATTAATGCATTTTTTACAGTTTTCCGGCCTCGATGAGCTCTTTTAATTTGAACTTCTGAATTTTGCCGGACGCCGTTTTCGGGAACTCATCGGTGGTCTTCAGCATTCGGGGTATTTTGAATTTTGCCAGATGACCGGTGCAGTGCTTGCTCACATCGCTGGCAGTAACGGTAGCGCCTTCTCGTATCCTCAGTACGGCGCACAACTCTTCCCCAAGCCTCTCATCCGCAACACCTACCACCTGTGAAATGGAAAAACGCATGCAATATTATTGATAATGATCCTTAGATGTTCATGTGAAGATTTGCTGGGTAAAGAACAAATATTTAATTTGTCTGTCGTCATAGGCATTAAGTTAAATTTTGATTGGAGAAACGATAACAATCGCTAGAATTTGATGTAGAAACCGCACGCAAATAGTGGGCAGAGTTTGGCAAGCACATGGAAAAGGGTTTCACAGCATTTTTTTTTTATCTTTTACATAGTATCAACAACCTTTTTATATTACCTGACTCTCGATAATGTCCGGATGTGTGTTAAGCAGGTCCTCAATTTCCTTTGGCGCAATATTCTCGCCACCTCTGACTATGATATCTTTTAATCTGCCGACTACTTTGCCATAGCCATCTGGTGATATCGTGAACTTGTCTCTGAAAAAAATATTGTCTTATTAATTTGCTTAAAAAAAATGGTAAAAAATATATTGTCACCAATGAGTTTCTATTGCCGGTTCTTCTCAGGTCAGTGGTTTTTCTTTTTCGAACTAGTAGTACCTAGTAGTAGAATTTTGACAATCAATAAGTGACTGTAATGCTTCTATATTGAATAAAGTTATTTGTATTAAATGAAACTAGTTTACGGATTTTATCTAATTTTTTATTTTGATTTGAACTTCGATATTTGACTTGACGTTTCGAATCCTTTCCAGTGTTCATGAACGTAAACTAGTTTCATTTAATATGGATAATATTGGAGTAAAATCAAGAAAAAAGATATTTGTATTGGAAATTAAAAAAAAAAACTTTTTTTAATGTGTTACGTATAACTTGTGGTGTCTTGGTGGCGCAGTTGCCCTTGGTTTCGGCGCTGGAGGTCGTGGGTAAGTGCGTAAGTGTCCCACATGGGATAAGTATTTCGGTGACCCACAGATAAGGGAGGGTTGACGTCAGGCAGGCGCCCGGAGGTAAAAACATTGCGAATACTTTTAAGTAGATGATTCACATGTTGTATCGACCACACTAAGGTGGAACAAGAAGAAGAGGTGCTGCGTATACTTTGTACTTCCGCGCTTGAGCACTGTTTTACTTGATGGTTTTGATATTTTAATTAATTAAGCAGTGATTTCGACGTTAGAGGCGTTTTAAGTAAGGGCACTTTATTATTTGAAAACAGCAGTGAAATATATATGGGCTGTTACTTTAGTTTTTTTAATTAAGATATGATCGTGATGACCTTACGTATGTATAAAATGAGGGCGTATCTGAGTTATTTCTGTGAATCTATGTTATGAATCCTGTTACAATTGCGCTAAAGTTTTTAATAAGGAAACAATAATTAATAAACGAGGAGGGTCGAGTGATAAGACTCACCCCGTGCTCAGCCATCCCTCGTCATTTAATATTTGCTTGGTCTTTTCGGGTTCATCCCAGTAGCAGATCATATTGTTGTAGCCACGTGTGACCAGCTCACCAGGGCTGCCGAATGGCACAGTTTTACCATTTTCGTCGACAACCTGATGATGATAGAAGCCCATAACCTTTAATATCTACCTAACTTGTAACATATACGTTACTAAACTAAAGGACGATGATCATTTTTATGTGCCCTAGCCATGTCAATTTGATTATATTTGATATTAACATTTAAAAAACGTAAGATCTCGATTTAAAATTTATTTATTTTTAACCGATTTCAAAAAAGGAGGAGGTTTCTCAATTCGACCGTATATATTTTTATTTTTTTTTATTTGTGTTCGTGGATTACTTCGTCGTTTATGAATCGATTTTAATGATTCTTTTTTTGTCGGAAAGGGGATATCCCGAGGGTGGTATCATAATATGGAACCTCGGATCTGATGATGGCATCCCAGAGAAATCGAGGGCCATCATTGAAACATTTTTAATACCTATAACATTTATAGGTATTAAAAATGTTTTAAATTTTTTGATTGAAGTCGGTTTTTTTTTTTGTTAAAAATTATACTTGTTATTATGTACAGTTGCAGTTAGTAATGTTTTCCTGAGAAAATCTTCATATTCTTAGTTCAAGTCTGACATTGAAAATTAAGCAAACTAATTATGTCCGGCGCATTCACACAGTTTCGAGAAAATACGAACTATACTTTATTATAATTGACACATGCTTATATGACGATTAAATTAAATTAAATCAAAAGGAATTTAATTATAATAAAATTGATATTAAATAAGCATTTGAAATGCAATAAATGAAATATTTCTTTTAATTCATTTATAATTTTCAGCTTTAACTAAGTCTAAACTTTTACAAGTAAGTCAAATTTTAATTAATAATGTCTTCTTAAAAATATGAATATTATGGACATTACGGTAGAAAGGGTCACTGTCGTTTATGCTAACGTCAAAACATCCATTGAAAAGATGTAAGTGTACACAAAATTGACTTAGAAAATATAACATTTTAAAATGTTATGGCAGTCGACGTGGTAAGGTATTTAATATAAGCAATAAAACTTATTCCAAGATATTTACAAGTAGCAGAAAAAACTCAATCTATTTTAATCTAATTTCAGCAATGAATATAAGCTTTCTAAACTTATGTATGATCCTATATACATTTATACTAACAAGAATTATGTTCTTTGCATTCAAAAAGATTTGACATAAATAAGACAGTTCTTTACAGAGTATTATAGTTATTTAGTTAAGTGAGATTTACTTCGCATAGCTCTCTTATGACGCAGTACTAAATTGACGGAAACTCGAAATACAGGATTTTACGTAATTGAAATTAAATTAGTAGTAACAGACCACTAACTAAATCTTATAAAAGGCAATTTTACCGCTGTCTGTAATGACTAGAGTAGATGTGATAGCTCCGATGCTTGCAATAAGCTAATTTTCATTTCGTACGGCGGCGGTGCGTAGTTGAGGTAAAGTTTGAGTATGTAATAGTTCTTCTGATGCTTAAGGTGCCTCTCCAACTGGCATAGGTTAGCTGTTAGCTTGTTAAAGTCTTTCTTTATATCAACTAACTGTGGTAGGCCAACACAATAGTTTTCGCTGTTGCACGAATGGGCAGGTCCGTCCTGATTAGTACTACGACCTCACAGAAGACCACCGTGAAGTAGTTGTGTTATACTTCTGCGTTTCATCTGGTGAATTTCGCAGCCGGGGACCACTTATTAAAAGGCGGCAACCTACAATCATACGGGTTTTGCAAATGTCCATAGGCAGCGGTCATCGTTTAACATTAGGTGAACCGCCAGCTCGCTTGGCACCTTCTTACATTAAAATAAAATGTAGCAACATATTAGCTACGGGTGTTACCACGCTCATATTATTTTTACACAGGTCTTTATCAAAAAGATTTCTATTTCCGTCCATACTTCAAGGCTCAACGCTATACAAAGAAACTAAAACTGCTGTTGCATTTATATTGTCATTGGTCGTTTTACCTTTACTTCAACGTGATCTTGAAGGTAGCCAACTGTCTCGGCCACTGTGTCGATGCTGTCGCCTGGTACGGATTGGAATACGCTAGCCGTCGTTTCCGACATACCATATAGTGCCTGAAGAATAAGACATGAGAAAAAATTTAACAACCTACTGTGGTACAGACACATAATAGCATCTGCCGTAGCACGGATGGACAGCTGGAGGAGGGAAGTGCCACGGCCGAACAGAAGACCCCTGATCAAGAGAGTGCTAAGTGAGGTAAGCGGGGCCCACTTTTTTAAGGTTGTTAACGCATCTGCAAGCCATGTGGGCCAAGGTGTTGTAGATGGCAAGCCAAGGTGTTGTAGATGACCATGGGCAGCGGTATTCACTCAACATCAGGTGAACCGCCTGCTTGCTTGACAACTTTTCACAAAAACAATTAAAAAATATCACGTTAGCGATACGAGAAGGTATGCTGAAGAGTCCCATACAGAGTCATTTTCGATAATTAAATATATTAATTCTTATGCTTATTATCCTTACTAATGCCATAAATCCTTACTTCCTTATCCTAACTAATGTTGTGAACGCGAAAGTTTGTGTGTATGGGATCATAGTTACTGTTTCACACAAAAACTTAGAATGGATTTTAATGAAATTTTCCAATAATATATCTTACACATCAGAATAACACATAGGTTATAATTTATAAAGATGTGGTGTAAATTGTCTAAAATATAACGCATAACTGTCAAGAAGGAAAAAATTAAATAGGAAAAAATTCTGCCATTTGCGAAATAATCTGGTAAATAAAAAAAATCATTGTTGATTCCCTTTGACCACGCGGACGAAGCCGCGGTTAACAGTTAAATATATAAATTATAGATACTGTTTCTTCAAATGTATGTTTCGGGTGGAACGAAAGTTAATGAGTTTTTCCTCACCAACACGGAGTTCGCCTTCATGTATTTCTGGATGTTCCTGATGAGCTGCGGGCTACAGGGAGCGCCCGCTGCCAACGCCATCCTGAGCTGCAGCGGCAAGTCGCCTTTGCTTTGGATCTGAGATATTATATCCACATACATTGTGGGTGTGCCGGTAACCGCTGTGCATCTAATACCAAATGTTTTAAAATAAGTTAGCCCAGTGGAAAATGGGAACAGGTGCGAGGCGAACAGATCGGGCGTATTTTGCGTGTGGCCAAAATTTTCTCCCTTTAACATTGCTTTACAGCTTAAGCGTTCAGAACTGGGAATTTTTAATTTTTTTGTGTTTAAGCAGAGACATTTTGTTGAGACATTTAATGGTAGATTAAATAATCTAATTTATGCCCTTAAAAGTGATAGATATTTTTATTATACACCATGGAGATAACTTATTTTCATTACCATATTACATTTTAAGCTGACTGCAGCGAGATAAGAAAAAGAAAGAAAGAGTTGTGAAGTAGTAACAGTCAAAATACTCACTTTTCAGCTAACATGGCGTTAATGTTATCAGGTACACTGTATGTCGGCCCTGCCACTACCAAACTAGCGCCGTGTCTTAAACCGCTCAGAACTGTCACCACCGACCCAAGAGCATGGAAGAGGGGTGCCTGGTAATTATAAGGCTATTGATTAATATTGATTAAAAAAGTGCAACCTACATAGCTCAGAGGATTAGTACGCTGAAGTGGCTGTGGGCCGGCGATATAGCTCGAAGAATCGGTAACTGATGACAAAGAAAGGAGTGAGTGTGTGGAGGCTTCGTATCGAGTGAAAGAGTGCCTGAAGTCGATGGATGTAGGTGGCTCAGGATCCGTGCTTCATGGTATTCTCTGGGCCTATGTTCAAGCTGAAATAATGATGATAAGATGATGCTGATAATTATGATGACGATGATGACTACCATGAAAATAAAGAAAATAAAGTGTAATAATGTTATGCGTGGTCACATCACGTTTTAGTCACATAATCACAGGATTAATGTACCTAAGCGTCCAGTTATTATAGCACCATCCAACATAGTGACATACAATGGGTTTAAGCACTTAAATAGTTGCTCATCTTTAGATTTAATAAATGCGCTGTTATGGATTAATGAATTTTTATATGGAATACAATAAAAAATACCTGAATGCATATCTTTTGGTGGCCTTCGTTGAATCCGTTTCTTTTACCTATGAAGTACGTGTTATTAACTACCCCTATGTGGGAGTCCAACGCTGCTTTGGGGTCTCCTGTAAAAGTTATAGCAGGTACTTCAATAAATTATCTTGGTGTAATATAATAAAAACTTATACTTGGATTATTTTATAATACCTGGATACTTCGATTAATCGGTCATGAAATGATAGTAGAGATGTGTTATTAATGGCAATAGCTATTAATGAATTTACTTTACGGAATATAATGTTGCTGGCCACCAGCTAAAATACGAGCCAAATCACATTCGGACTAAGCCTAAATAATCTCCGTACATCGTTCAACAGATGTTTAGTGATAAAGTCTATGGCATCTAAATACATAAATCAATAGAACTTGAGAACTTGAAAATTCCCTTTCAACTTTAAAAAAAATATAATACTTCCACTACGACCAAATGTGGACCTTTGTGAAAACCCAGGTATAAAGGATACAAATAGAAACTAAACTAAAGCAGGCCAAGTCAGATTCAGACTAAGCCTAAATAATCTCCGTACATCGTTCAACAGATGTTTAGTGATAAAGTCTATGGCATCTAAATAAAAAAATAAAAAAATCATCTGGTGATGCAGTGGACTTGAACATGTTGAAATGATGGTTCATTTTAGCATGTTCAAGTCCACTGATGAAGCACGATCCTGAGCCACCGATACATGTGGGGATAGCCACAGAATATACAAATAAAAGCAATAACATTCATTATTTAGCCACCTCATCACTTTACACAAATTAAAAAAAAATTATACTTATAACTTTTAAAAAATTCTCATTCACTGTGGCTATGAAACTTACCCGTGGTGCCTGATGTGAAGTGGATAATACTGCCATCTTCCGGTTTCAATTCACTTCCGTACTTCGATATTTCGTTAGTGTTGTTGTTTAAAAGGGAATCAAATTGAAGTATGCCACTAAAAGTAGAAGAATATTTCGTAAGTTAATAAAGTTAATAAAGTAACGTTTGCCTAATCTGTATTTTCCGGTATTTCCGATCTTGTTAATGGAATCCACTAGGTAACGTCATGTTAATTATTCATATTTTGTCATTGTTTTTTTTGTTGAGTTCCATAATGTTACCATAGTCAGGTGTTAAAATTGCATTATTACGGAATTTTTCTGAGATAAATAAATTAAGTTATATTACCTTATTTTCTCTTTTTCTATGCTAATCAACGTGCTCAATTCTGGAAACCGTTCTGATTTCAAGGAGCCGGGCTTTGCACTATCCAATTCGGGTATAAGCTGTTTCAAAACGTTTACGTAGTCCCTATTTTTTATTGCACTCCCCATCACGAGACCTTTTAACCCGGTTTTCTCGATACAAAAGCTTAGTTCGGATTTCTCGTACACTGGATTTATGAGAACCTGGTAATTATATCGAAAACTGAGTATACGCGAAATGTATAATTATGAACTTCTTTTGTTATTAATTGTAGAGACGTAGAAGTGGATTCATATAGTATATAAACTGCCTCTATTCCAAATCTGTTCAGCGCGAGCGGTTGGAGCGTGAAGAGAAACAAAAACGTTATAAGTGTTAACATTGATAACATTAATATTATGTTGTGCGTTTTTGTATATATATATCAGTTTATATTTAAAGTACATGAAGGTTGATATGGACATATATTATTCTTTGAAAAAGTTGTATATATCTGTGTACTATTGTCATCAAATTAAAGTTAACTTAATTTAATGACATAAGACATTAAATCAGTATTCTGATAAAAATTATCTTTAATTTTTGTCAACAATGTCTTTTTTCCGATCTAATTTAGTTTTTTTCTTAAAAATGTGTTATTATTTATAGATATGTTAAGTTACTCAGTGCGTTTACTTTACTTACTGATATCAGTCCGGCCCTGGCAGCAGCCACAAGGGCAATTATCCATGTACTTGAGTTGTGACACCATAGTCCTAATCTGTCCCCTTTCTGGAACCCGTTGGACCGCAGTGCGCATCCAAGGGAATCTGCCTAGAAAAATACATTAGCATTTGTTAGTCTGTATTTTTTACATACGCATTTATTTTATTTATTTACTTAGTCATTATTGCAAACACCTTAAATAGGGACTTTGCTAGTCGAACCACGGCGTGAAGACAAATTGTTGTATATATATATATATATATATTGGCTTTACTTTCAGAACCTTTCTCATTTCGGATTCTCCAGTACTATCTGGTTGGGAATAACACAGCCACATGAAGGAATAATAAGGACGCATGAACTCAAACATTTAAAGAGACAATTAAAAAACATTCAAAACGTTTGATGGTAAAGGTGGCTATGAATTTAATCACGACCATTCGCAAACATTGCTCGTAACCACCAATTCTATAGAGGGAAATTAATTCGGGGAAAATGATAAACAAACTAATTATGATAGCACACAATCATTTGTAGTTTGTATTATCTATGGAAATGTATACGCTGAGTAAAGAAGGTGCATCTTTGCTCCTGGCAATTAATGATTACTTTGGTCGATTGCGTAACTTTATACGGACGGTTTATAATGCTTGTGGAAACTGCGGCGTTTTTTTTAATATATTCATCTTTAACATATTCAAAATCAATGAATTCTCCACTAGTTAACACCTGATCTTAGCAAATCCACCAAAATTTATACGAATAAAAGGTTATAGATGCATTTAGTTTTACATTCGTCCGAATTGTCTGTTTTAAAATCGTATCCATCTAGGACTACATATTATGGCAATATTCATCACAATTTGTGATGGTTTTATGTCAAACGCTTTACACAGTCATTAATAAAGAAGTAGACATATGATCTCTGACAAGAACAAATAAAATTTTTGCGATTGTATCAAAATTTCCAGATGACTAACAAGTTCAAAATATATGCAGTATTGTCACGATTTTTTATAATGCTACAGTTCCGGAGCTCTATTACTAAGAGCACGCAATATACGACTTAGAAGTCGATTTAAAATGTCGTTCACTGAATATATTTATAAACTGCAACATATAGTTTCTTGTATACAACTGTCATGGTAATAAATCAATCGAAAGCATTAAATACATTTTTGACATAAAATTTTGAGAAAAAAAAACAAATAATTTGAATCACATGATAACGTTACAATGTAACCGAAGAATTGAATTGACTTTCGAGATACCTGCGTCAATAGTTCTTCGTATGTGAGGGTGACATCCTCATACACTGATCGAATCGCCACCCTGCCCGGATATTTGTGTGCGCTCTCCTCTAGTACATCGCTCAGTGTCGCGATGGTCAGAGGTTCAGAGCCCTTGTTGTGAAGGTAACTCTCATCCGACGAGAGATGACGCGCAACTCTGCAAATACTACATCTTTGTACTCTGCAAATACGATATCTAACTCTGCAAATACGATAACTAACTCTGCAAATACGATATCTAACTAAGCAAATCCGATATCTTTTCTAAATAGTAATTTTTGGATAAGGAAAAGGACAATATGGTAATTTATAATTAGAGTACGTAACACTTTCTGCCGTTGTACGAATGGGCATACTCGTCCGAGGAAGTACAGCCTCAAAAAAGACCGCGTTTAGTGACCACGTTTTTAAAGTTCCTTAACCAGAGTAAAACGGGACCCTATTACTAAGACTGCGCTGTCTATCTATCTGTCCTTCTGTCACCAGGATGTATTTCATGAACATGTATTTCGTGATAGTTAGACAGTTGAAATTTACACAGATTATGCATGTCTGTTGCTGCTATAACAACAAATACTAAAAAATAAAATTCAAAAAAATTTAAGGGGGCCTCCCATACAACAGACATGATTTTTTTTGTCGTTTTTATAAATAATGGTACGGAACCCTTCGTGCGCGAGTCCGACTCGCTGGCCGGTTTTTACTTTATAATGTATAATCACACCTTTGAACAGACGCTGTGAATTTTTGTCACCCTTTTTAAGTGCTACTAACGAGTTGACCAATTAAGTAGATAATAAATAAAATAAGAGAAAACATAATGATAAGACAAAATAACAATATAACATTGTGTTGTTATTAAAAATAATATTTAATTTATTGACCACTCCGTGGCGCAGTTACCAAGATATGGGCTTCTGCGCCGGTGCTTGTGGGTTAGACTCTGAAACGGGGCAACTGCTTGTGTGACCCACAGAAAAAATTTTCGAATCTGGGTGTTTGTCCACGTGAAAGGGCAATGGCAGGTGACTGACAGGCCATACATGACTTTAGTTGTGATAAAATTTTAGCGTTTAGAGGTCAAAAATATCTGAAAATGTTCATTTCAACCAACTTTATATTAAGAATGTTATTTAATGCTTTTCAAAAATATCTGAAAATGTTCATTTCAACCAACTTTTTGTTAAGAATGTTAATTGGAGAAAGTCTAACAATAAGATATCATTTCCAATTTTTTCATTTTACGGTTATACTGTGCGGCGTTTAAAAATTGTTCCGCTTTACATTATTTGACATATGTAAGCGATGATATAGAACGTATGATACGGAAAGAGATAGCAATCTATAAAGTTGCAATGTAATTACACCAATTGGCGTAATTTGAATGCCTCAGTTTCGGTGCCCTATCTACCTATTATTTGCATGAATCTTCCAAGTTAAATATAGGAAAGGTACAATGTGGGCCACAAATACTTTTTTGTTATTCTGGTAACTTTAACGTTTCGGAAAAATCTGTTATCATGTTAAAAATGAGTATAAAACTAAAAATTTTCTATTAATTTTTTATGTAACCGCAGGTTAAGATTTTTACAATTTAATTGTATTATATTTTACTTAAATTGCAATTGTTCTATAAATTAATTATTGATAAATGTCTTATTCAACTTTTCTGTCAGATTTAGGTATGAGGTTCATTTATTTTAAGTTTTAAATATTTACCTTGTATACTTAAGTAGCTCCTAATTTTATTATGTTACTACATTGTTGAAAACTTTTAAATTTTTTATCGCTCAAAATACGACATGGATATAGGAAGTCACTATTTCGTATAACGCTTTCATGTATCTATCCAACTTATCAATAAAATCGTGGCTTAACCTATTTATTTTCCAGTCTAAAAGGTGTATAAAATGATTTTAGTTTTGTTTATTTTATGTACAGGAATTATTATAAAGCAACAATTATCAGTTCGTTAAAACCAGGGACTAGAATACATTTATATAGGGAACGAAAAATCAGACTTCATTAAAAATATTGTATCCCACTATTCTTCGTGGACACCACAGAGACACCATACAATGTACAAGTCAGTCCCAATACTAAGACGAATAAAATGATTCTCATATTACGTTGAAATCCTTTAAAAGATTTAGGCATTTTATATAATTCGACGTATGTACATAGTCGGACATACGCTCGAAAGTCTTCGGCAGTCGGGCAAAAAATCTGACATGCTGTTCGTGATATCCATGTATCTACATAGGTTATTTAGGCCAACATAACATTAATTAAGAAGAAGGGAACGTAGCGATTCAATTGATTTCAACGCATAAATTAATTACGTATATATATATAACGAATTTCATTAAAATAAATTTTGTAACGAACAATCAACATAATCGATTATTGGCCACGCGAGAGACAAATGTGTATTATTTTCGGCAAGTTGAATTAACTATGACACTTGTAGAATATACCGATATGAAGTGTTCGAGTACTAGTCAGATCAAAATGAAAATAAAAAATACATTTATTCAAATAGACGCTTGCGCGCTCTTAGTTTCATGGAACAACGACAATGGATATCAGAAATCATCAAAATTATTTTATAACACGTTCCATATCTTGTCATACGAGATAAATATTGATCCAGGTACAGGTTGCCTTGACCACGCTGGAAACCGGTTACAAAGCGATCAGCATTAAGAAACAAGCGAGTGCAATTTTAACACGGTTATCGTACTTTTCTTACGTGACGAGTAGATGGATCATGGCGGTGGGTTTTAGGTACAAATCCGAAGTAGTAATGTGCGAGAGAAATTGATGTACTCGTAAAGTCGACCACTGTTTGTCCTCAACGGCGACGTTATCTTACTAAATGTCTGTACGTCGGTATGTTTTGCAATAAAAAGTTCACTGTTAGGCCGCTGATAAAATCTGATTAGGCTACCAACTGCTATTTAATTTAATAAGGTTGGTGAAATGTCACATTAATTATATCAGCTTAGCTTGATAAGTTCACAATGTGACAGTGAGTTTCATTTATTGCCGTATATGTGATTATTTTCATTTATCTGATATTTAAAAAGGCGATGTTACTTGGTGTAATAAAAATATTATGCATCTATCTTAAGAAGTTTCAAAGGATACGAGTTTAACATAAAAAAAAGCCATATATAAAGAATTGCTTCGTTTCTGGCCTCTAGTCGATGGAGTGACTTGGCATATCTATGTATGATAACTATTTATAAGAATAATTACAAAAAAGAATGTTTCTCCTTTACTTGGTAGCATAATTAGAAGGTCTGCTGAGTTTAGAACTAGATAACGTTGTATACATGCATTTTTGAAGTATCAATTACATTATAAATGCAAACGTTAGTGTCACTATTGCTTAATTTTCACCGCTTACTTCACATAAGGATAGCTTTTAAGTTGTTAAACACGTATATTTTTTTTGTTTTTAACCGACTTCAAAAGGGGGAGGTTATCAACTCGGATGTTTATATGTTTTTTTTATGTATATTCGGGCATTACTCCTTCATATAAAGACGGATTTGCAAAAATCTTTTTTGTTGTTTGTTTTATTATGAAATGGTGGGACCATTTAAAATTTATTTATGAACTCTCAAGAAAACGACAGCAAATCAACTGCGATTGCTGCTATCGCATAAATATGGATTGCACAACAATTACATGAAATAACATCACGTATGTACACTTAAAAACGTTATGCAGATCTATTCAGTCTATTGTTTATACAATTAATACGTTGTTTTCGCGTTCTCAGCTATCATGTGTGCATTGTACTCGTAAGTGTCTACTTGCTTGACAGTGGGATAAATTCAAACTGCAACTCTGTAGGCAAAACCTCCTATCAACAGTATTCGTTGACATTCACAAAGCAATTCAAGTTGAGTCGTTGTCAATTCGCCAACGCGGTTTTTAATCTTTGTAAATAAACTTGTAGCCAAACGAGTGCGAATTAAACTAAGATGAATATTGTAATTTCCTTGATTTTAGTAGGATTCTTGACCTATGCAACATATAGGATATATTATCAAGAATTGATTACATTAGATTTAGTATTATCATAAACTTTTTGGTGCTAATAGAATTTTCTAAAGTTTTTTCAAATAGAAAGGTAACGTAAAACCTGTATTAAAAATAATAAAAAACATAGATAGGTTTATAAAGCTGTACTTTTTTAAAACCTCTAAAACATTAAAAATGATATGACCAATTTTGCATGCAATGGGGTATGCCCCAAGTTTGTTATACTTATATGTCCTGTTAAAAGCAACTGTCATCATAAATATGCAATGATAGTATATTTAATCTACAAGTCAGTCTACTAGTCCGTTTTTCAAACTGAATATAAGTTTTCTGACACGATGACACGGCAAAGTAAACAGTGTAGGTACTCAGTTTAGGAGCATTACTATAAATGGAACGTGTTATTTATGATAATAATAATAATAAATATCTTTATTCACATAGACGCTTGCGTGTTCTTATGAAACGTCAAAAATTTACAAAGAAATTAACACGTTCGTAAGTTACCACCGGTTCGGAAAGCAGTTTCTGTTGAGAAGAAACCGGCAAGAAACTCAACAGTTGCTCTTTTTTAAAAGGTCAGTTTAGGTCAGTATAGGCTTTAGTCATAAGTTTACTTTTAATTTTTCGTTTAAAGTCATCAAGAAAGAATTGATATGATATTTACAACAACATCAACGACTTAAACAACAAAATTTTATCATATGTGTATAATTTGATAATCTAAATGTTTATGACTGATTTGTCAAGTCTGTTAAATTGGTGGAAGTAGGTTTTAAAAATGCCTTTATTTAAAAGAAATATTTTTACTACCTGCTACTACTACCAACCCATTTAGTTTTTCTTTGTGTGGATTGATAATAAAGAAAGCTGATATGCGTCTGTGGAAGAATTTGTGTTTATTTTAGTACTTCCAAGGTCGTCATGTTATATGCAGTTTAGATATTTTGAACCGTAACGAATTCATCCGTTTGAACAGATAAAAGTACAAAAATAATAAAAAGTTGTTTTAAGCTATCATGGAATAGGTATACGTGTGTTCTTTTCAAAGAAAATTGGAATATTATTAAGCAATAAGCTGTTGTAAAATATACAAAATCGTTTCGTGTACCGTTCAAGATAGCCGTGATAGCTCCTTGTCCGGGCGCTCACTTTTGATTCAATATATACTCCAGCAATGAAATGAAATTTCATTTCAATTATAAGTGCTGACTTATCTTGTGCTCAGCGGTGAAGAAAACATCATGAGGAAACCTGCATATTCTCGAAATAATAACAAAAAAAATACTTCGGAGATATGTGGAGTCCACAAATCCGCAGTGGGGTCGCGTGGTGAACTATACCCTCATAATCTCTGTATAAGGAGACCTTTGCCCAGCAGTGGGACGAATATAGGCTGTTTCTTTACTTTCACGGTTTAGGAATGTTACTTGCCTGAATGCAGAAAATCGTAATAAACCTGTCTGTTTTACGTCGGTGTTGAAAGTTTGCGCGGTTTATAACGGCACAAAAAAGTGACGAGCACTAAATGTTTTTGGGAAAGAAAGTGGACAGATATGAGTAAATTTCTTAAAACGCTTTTAAAAAAATGTAACCACTGTTCTAATTTCAATAGCCGTAGATAGTGATCAAGATTACGTATCAATCTCAAAAATTTCAAACATAAAAGCCCATGAATGTTACCCATTGGGATAACTTTAGATTTTTGATTTCGCTCTCACTCAATTTTTGCACACCTTTGGCTATATCAGTTATGGTTTAATCAAACAGCTGACCCTCAGTGTATTTATGATATGATGAATATTATAAGATATGGTAATCTTTTAAAAACCGGCCAAGTGTGAGTCGGAAGGGTTCCGTACCTTTATCTATAAGAACGCCAAAAAACCTGTAAACCATGTATGTTGTATGGGCGACCCATTTAAATATATTTTTATTCTGTTTTAGTATTTATTGTTCAATGAAAATGTAATGTATCTGTGAAAATTTCAATTGTTTAACTATCATGATCCATAAGATAAAACCTGGTGGCAGACGGAAAGACAGACAGACAGTCAGCGGAGTCTTAGTAATAGGGTCCAGGTTTACCCTTTGGATACGGAACTCTAAAAATTATTAGCGTGAATTAAACAATGATAAGATTATACAGTATAGTAAAATTCATCATCATCATCGCCATCAGCCGCAAAACGTCCACTGTTGAACATAGGCCTCCCCCTTAGAACGCCACAACGAACGACACTTGCATCCATTTGCATCCACCGGTTGCCCGCGACTCTTATGATGTCGTCGGCCCACCTAGAGGGAGGCCTTCCAACTACATAAATAAATTATAATGAATGCAATAGCTTCTCTTTTATTTTGAATAACAATATTTATCAGTAACCTTATCATTTAGATGCGCCCGCTATCTAAAAAAACTCGTTAAGAGATTTTCGTCCATAAAATTATTGAACTGTTCTACTATAACGGATATTTTTATTATTTTATCATGCCTTGTTAATATTATTGATAACAGAACAGTTGTTAGAAATATAAGTAATTTTATTTTACGTTTAGAGTTATAGAGTTACATACTTATGTTTAGAGTTATAGTTTGTTCAGACTTGTGGACATGACGCGTAATTAGTAAATTTTGAAATGCGATTACTTTACTAATACCCAGATTGAAGTACTTTATAAGAGAAAACACATTAATTATCAGTTATCAATAATGGACCATGTACAAAACCAATCGGTAGTTATTCTAATCTCATAATACTTATAGTTGATTGAAAATGTCTTAAATTGTCCCGCTATTCAAATCTCCCAATATATTTAATTGAAAAGGTTTTAAATTGTCCCGAATAAGTTATAAGATACAAAATGAGGAACAAATGTATTGGTAAAGATGTTTGACCCACCTGCAAGTGAGATTGTGTGGGACCCTTCGGCGCACTAAAGCAGCGGTTTTCGTAAACATGCTGACACTACTGAGCAATACCGGTGCCCAATGTTGACTGCGTTAAAGGCAAAGACACTCGTTGCGTCCGGAAAGCGGGACTTAGATAAAGAGCTAATGTACAATTATTAGGCTGGCTTATCACTATACGATATAATATGTAACATATCTCGAGATGTATATTAAATCCCACGATTGGGGTTGGAATGCAAGTATGTGTTTTCGATCAATTCAGCTAAGGAAAAATATTTATAACTAGCAGTGAAATGAAGTGAAATGGGCTCCTGTTGTAAATTATGGTGTGTGATATTAATTTATGGCCTGATATAGCATAGCATCTCGCACACTGGAAAGCCACCTGTAAGGTTAATGGCAATGACAAGACAAAGTCAAATCATATATAAAAATGTTCGTCTCGTATGCATTCAAGTCCGATTTAAGTCTGATCACAATTTAATTTTGTGAGGGTTTTTAGTTTAATGTACGTATGGTACGAGTTGAAATACCATTAATATTTTTACACAAATATTTTTATTTGACAAGATGGCAAGCGAGCTGGTGGTTCACCTGATGTTAAGTGATGACCATCGCCCATAAAAATCTGAAACACTCTGCTGCAGATACGTTTCCAGCTGGTTACCTTCCTCACCACACGATACGCGGAACTACACTTTCACATAACGCCGGTCTTCTATAAGGCCTTGTTGATTCCCCGGATGTGCCTGCCCATTTGTGTGATACCAAAGGCTGCTGCGTCACCTACCACATTCTCAATCACAATTCTCAATTGTGTTAGACAAAACCGTCGTGTGGTCTTGATTATTTTGTAAGATCACAATAGTTCATGTGGAGGGTTATTACAAATACACAAAAAAATATAAGGTCAACAATGAATAGATAATATAATGATGTAGATTACAATTATTTAAAAATCGATAAAATGGCAGATATGTAGTTTATATTATACACATAATTTGTTGATCGTCGTTATCAATTATATCTGCAAAGTCATCACAATCTAGAAAATAGCCGGTACATGATATCAATAACTAACTATAAGATAACACCTGAGTATTATGATTTATTTATTGCAATTTACCAACAATTGGAACATTTAGTCCGTGAAAGACCAGTATTGTGTGTAGTAGCCTATAATGCGTGTTCTAATACAGGGAAACATCGCTTGCAGTAACACATAAGCTTTTGAAACTAACACTAGATTTTAAAGAACAAAAACAATGGAAGAAACGATGGACAAAATGAAAATGATGAAATACAAAATTTAGTAACAAAATTTTACGAACACCAAATGACTTAAAACTTATCCTTGTTAATATTTTTTTATGTGAAAATTTGCCAAGCAAACAGGTGGTTTACCTTATAATAAGTGAATACCGCCGCCCATGGACATTTGCTAAGCCCGAGGGTTGCAGGTGCGTTGACAACCTTTTGAAAATTGGGCTCCGGCCACCTAACTCAACAGACGAAACGCGAAAGTATTTATTATACTTGCACTTTACGCCGGTCTTCTGTGAGGTCGTGGTACTTACCCGGACGAGCCTGCCCATTCGTGCAACGGCCGGAGCTGCTTCGTGACCCTACCACAGGTTAGAATAATATCATAATGTAAGGTCTATATTTGTAATATATTTATTGTATTGGTATAGTTGGATTCCGCCTTACGGTGTGGAAACCGTTGGGGTTGAGCGGGCTTGTGAAGCATTTTTAATAGCTTCCTAAAGGATAAGGTGTGTAGAAATTAAAATTGTGGGGTAGTTAAAAGTGTAGAAACTGTGGGGTATGTACATTTTAACAGATAATCCAATATTTTTTAATAAAATTCGTCTTCTTAGGGTATATTACGAGTAACATTTGAAATGACAATGCATTTATGTAAATATGAAGTCATTGTAAGTTCTTCGTAATAATAAAATTCATATAAAAGAAAAAAAACCTATTTTATGAAAATGTTGTAGATTTTCTCGGCACCTTTTTTAATTCGACTTATTATCAATTAAGATATACAAAATTATAAAGTCAAGTTCACAGTGACCAGCTGAACGTAAGAAAAAAGGAAATACTAGTAAAAGTCGTCGAGTTAGCTCCAAAATAATAATTATAATAAATATTTATCCGATGCAACTGCTAAAAGTAATAGCATAGCTCTCCGACTGCCACCGTTCTATTGCAAACACATTCCTCTTAAGTTGGTTTTGGCTCAAAAAGTTATGATGCTAGTTATTCAACATTCAATGAGTGAGGTCAAAAATGAATGTATGATGCAATAACGTTAATATACGCTATTGGTTAGAAAAATGCTGCAACCACGTGTTAGAAGAAAACGCAATGTGGTATTTGGACGACGGCATGGGAAATCACAGATGGTAATTCTTTCACAATAAAAATGTATAAGGAAATATACAAGGAAGAATTATTATTATTAATAGTTAATTCATTAAACTCAATTTTTGGAAATTTTATTGTGAAATATTAAAAAATTTAAATGTGAATACACCTTTATCTGCAGTTGCGCTGAGGACTCATCATTTTCTTGATGAGAATGGTCTGTGGACAACAATGTCTTTGGTCCGACGGGGCCTCTTTTGGCTCAGATGCAAAAGATGGTGCTCTTTGATTCCACCCGCGCCTTTCGTTCTTGTTTTTTCTTCTCGCCTAATATGCCATGGTTTGATCTCCCTCGTCCAGGATTATGTTTGTCTGGGATTCATTTTATTTTTGTATATGTGTACAGTTAGTACGTACTTACCTTTTCAACTGAATTAAAAAAAAGGAGACCTATCGCAATTCGTTAGTATAGTTTTCTATGACTGGAGTTGTTTTTTTAGGTTAGAAATCACGGAGTTCTGAGGTAGCTTTGAAGTTCGCAATGAACCGATTTAAAATAATTTTTTTTGGGTTCGTTTTAGTTCCCATAATCATTAGGGGAACTCCTCAAAATCAAATAGAAAATGTATAGTTAGTGAGATATTATAAATGGGTTTTGATTTTTGTTGATAAAAATGTACTTTCTGTAGTGACTGAATGTATTGAATCCGTTAGACAAAATACTGACAAAGCTTTCAGTCTCTTAAAGCATATACACATAAATTTAAGTCACGTGAAAAATATCTTTAAAACGTCAAAGGTTTATGACCCGAAAAATGGCCTGATATTTCGCACTGAACTGGCGGTTCGTTTAAACTTTAACTATAGACAGTCATCGAGGAAATGCAGTTAACGCTTTTGGCACCATGCCGCGAAGTGTTAGTTGGAAATTTTTTTTTTTAATTAGTTTTGCAATCGTTTGATATACCAAAAATAATTGAAGATATACATACTTATTTCTTGCAGTGGGAATCGAAAAATTTTCCGCCAGCCACCACCACTTTTTGGAATTATATGTTCTCAGCGCTTTATGGGGACATTTAAGAATCTTGAAAATATAAAGAAGGAAAAAAGAAGAAAATAGTCCACAATTTCTACTTGAAAGTCCGTCACCACTTTACAATTCCTTCGTTCTTGCGAATGTCATGAAGTGGTTGACCGCTCAGTATCAGAAGAGCGTATTCATTGGCTACTTCTTGCATTATAATAAATCCGGTCGTTTTTCTTGAGGGTCAAGCGTTCTTTCGCGGTATCTGATCTAGCGGTGGCTGAATCGAGGCCGTGGCTCCACTGCCCAGTCCACCCTCCGGAAGTGGCGCGTGGGGCACGCGACGATACACCTTCCGCCCCCCTCAATTTCTTGTGACGAAACATGCAAATTTCCCCGACCTCCTAACGCCATGATACCGATCGCGGTGAGTGAAAATGCGTTCATGTGCGCCGTGGCACACGTGCGTTTGAGTATTTTTCGGGAAACCTATTGACTGGGCATTCGAACATTCACATGTACAAATTAATCACTGCTAGCTTAAATCAATTTTGTATTTTTTTATTTGATGGAGTGAAGTATGTTATTAATCATTGTGCGTTTTATTTTCGGACGTTTTTTAAAGAAATACCTAATTAAAATTGCCTAAATGAAAAGCAGCAATAAAAAAAAGTTGGAATAAAAGTATCGTAGTCATAAATTGTGGAATGACATATTTATTTCTAAATAGGGCTAGTTACGGTTACGGCGAAGTTGAACATTCCGAGTCGCCTCATCACCATACAAATGGGTCAATGCATCGCGGGGGCATGGCTAGACGTTGCCGCCGCGGGTTCTGTTTGTAAATCCGGCTTACGTAGCAGCCGACTTTATTCAACTGAATCATGCGAGAAGTCCGCTCCGCTACGCAACTGCCGCAGTCATGCTCCGCCCGCCTAACGGTCAACATATACCGCGGAACAGGCAAACATGATCACCCGCGAACACCGGTTTGTTCCCGAATAGTGCTTGGTTGAAGGTTATGAAGTGACGATGTCACAGGCTGCGGGCGGCAAGAAAGGCGGTAAGGGCCCGCCGAAGAAGAACACAGACGACGACAAATCGACCGCTGCGAAGATCGTGGACGAGAAAGAGGAGACATCCTCGAACAATGGCGATAAGAAAGACATCAAAGAAACCAACGGAGATGTTCCGAAGCCACCGAGCGCCGGCGTCAACATGCGGGAAGCGGCCGCCAAAATCCTGGGCCTGGCGCAGAAAGGGGAATGGTCTGCAGTGGAACAGACCCTCAAGGTGCTGGAGAAGCTGGTGGCGGCTGGCGGTGAGGATACGATAACCGTACCGATGGCTGGGATACTTGATCCGGTAATTTCATAACTTTCCTTGCACGATTCTGCACGGATATACGAGAATATTGAATGTTCAGGAAGTGTTTTAGATTCCAGTATATTACATTTTTTCTTTTAATTTTTAGCAAGCACACTATTTAACATTAGAGCCGTCTAAACCGATAATTTTGGAAATAATTTTGGAAGCGAATTGTGTGTTCGTAAAATTGCACTAAGGGCGCCTCATTGTTAGTGTAGTCGTTTTTAATATGCTTTTGACATCACTGGTTTTTCTCTTTACGTGATAGAAAAATCATATAAATATTTTTGTTGCTTAATTTTATGAAACCGCCAACAAATCTAAGATCTGAAAAAGCTCATAGAAATTTATGTAGGACGTGCGGTAATAATTTAATATTTTATGGCCGTGAATTAAGAAAAGCATTTTCCATTATTTTCTTTTACGACCCTATGAAGGCCGCGACGTCAAATGGCAATGAAGTTTAGATCTACACGGACCTGATAATTTTTCCTTACTTTAGTATTTAATTTTTATTATCCCCAGCAATCGAGCCCGTTTAATAACACTTTTCTGAATGACTAATATAAAGTATACGCTACAGTCAGTGATAATATGTGAAGTTTATTTTTTGTTTTGTAGTTTGTCACGAACTTTTCACGAAATTTTGTCTTGTTTTTGGTTTCTTTAAGAAAAGAGATAACGAAGTTTTTGAGTTTCTTATTTCGGTCAAGATAGATTGTTTTATATTACAAAAACCTGATTAATGTAGAAAACTGCTCGACTCTGATTAGTGAAACTTATAGATATTTTTTTATTTATTAACTTTTACCCTACTGTATGTAAGAAAATTGCTTCGACTATAATTCACTTGAAATTTGGTTAGAACGTGGATTTGAGCGAAGAAGTCTTAAGTGTATTCTATGAGAACCATTTAAAACGTGATACATTTTAAGGAAAAACTATCTGATCATGGATGAGACATTCATTTTAAATTATATTAAAATGTGTAACGAATAGGATATATTTTAATTGTAATCAATGCATTGAATTCTCTTAAAACGTTTTTATTATGTTTTCTTGTGTTATGTAAAACTAACATGTTATGCAGTGTTATATTTTGTCCGGAATCTGGCAATGTAAGAAATTGTGAGAGTTACAAGAAAATATTTAATATTTATGAATTTGTTATTATGTTACGATTATATTGTTAATGATTCAGTGCACGAATATTTGTTAATAAAATGACAGTTGACTATTAGTTTAACTTATTTTAAATTATTTTTCGTAGACATCGGATTATTTAATGAGATGTTCTTACATAGAAACTATTGTATAGAAATTTATGTCGTCATCACGCATTTTTCAGATCGGTATTTATATAAAGCTTTTATCTATTTTTTTTATGGGAAAAAAGTAGCAAACGAGCAGGAGGCTCACCTGATGGTAAGTGATCACCGCCGCCCATGGACATCTGCAACACCCGAGGGCTTACAAATGCGTTGCCGGCCTTTTAGGAAAGATAACGCTCTCTTCTTGAAGGTTCCCAGGTCGTAACTACTACGAACATCTCGTAAATTTTCCGGTAAGTTCTGCCATAAGGTATAAGTTTTAATTTTTAACTTAGTTTGGATGCAAGTGGGGAAACTTCAGAAAGTTTGTCATGAAATTAACCTGAATTCTAAATAAAATCTTCAGATTCACAGAGAATCTGGATATCCGTAGCTATCTACTGATTTATGGCTTTTTTTTATGTGAAAAGTTGCCAAACGAGCAGACAGTTCATCTGATGGTGGTGAGTGACATCTGAGATGCGTTGACAACCTTTTGAAAATTGGGCTCCGGCTACCTCACTCACCAGACGAAACGCGAAAGTATTTGTCATACTTCCACTTTATGCTGGTCTTCTGTGAGGTCGTGGTACTTACCCGGCTTGAATTCGTATTTCTTTTTTTTAAATATTCTTCAAGGCATTCAATACCAATTTATTTAAAATATGTAATGTATATATTATTTATTTAAAATAAACAAAAGTCATCCGTAAACACGTCACATAGTAAATTTGCCTTGAATTAAGCGAACTATAAATACAAGTTTATTCGCAGTACCTGTAGTACAAAGGGTAGAAACGTGTTAATTATGGTTTTATTATTATAGGTAACTTAGTAATAGAGTATAGTGTAAGGTTGCTGGGCGTATGACTAACGCTGATAAGTTACCGTTCTTCGATTTCTGTACTGGTAAATATCTCAAATATATGCTCAGAGGATTGCGCCTACCTAGACTGCACCTGTAACTTATGAAACACACTGAGCTCCTTGTGGAATGAATCACTTCATTCACTAGACGAAATGCAGAAGTATAACACTTCGTCTTACTTACTGGTCGTGGTATTTAGTAACGACTATTTATTGTATGGCCCTACTACTACAATATTAGGATTATGCGATGGAATTTTAAAAAGTGGTTGCACTGGCCACATTATTCTGTTGGTGATGAAAATAAAATGCCACCTTTCTGTATCTATTGAAAACGTGTATTCTTGGTAGTAGGGCCTCTCCATACATGATATAATATTTTATCTTCTTCACTTTATATAAATGAATCAAATAGCTAATTATTTTGTTCCGTTTTAATTTATAATGTTGAGAGTTAAATGATTTTTTTTATTTTGACGACAGAATATGTTTTGATGTAATGAAGGCATTTCATCGAAATCAGCATCACTATCAGGATAGTGATGCTGATTTCGATGAAATAAAACATGAAGAAAATGAGGATGTCATGTTTGTTAGTGGTTTACTATTCGAAATAACAGGCTGAATTAGATTAGGTGGTTGCATATTCTTAATATCCATTTCATTCAAAAGCGACTTTAATAACAATATGCTAATTGGCCAAAACCATAATTGATGGGGAAGAAAGGTTATCGAGTGGACCCCCACTAGATGCAGTGACGACCTGTGCTCAGGATCGTGCTTCGTGGCAGTCTGTGGCGGAGTCCTATTTTCTATTATCCTGATTTCCGCCAAAGATCTCTTTGAAGATAGTGTCTAGTATCCTTAGAAAATTTCCCATTGATACAAAAAAAAATGTGCTTGAATACTCGCAGATTTTTAGAATCTTTTGATTACTCATAGCTACAAGAAACTTTTTTTTGGTAATCGAAGGGATCACTGATTTTTCATTAGACTACCTACTATACTTTAAAAAAAAGCGTGGTTCTTGAATGAATTAATCTATCTTTCGTTTCCAGTTCGAGCATCGCGTGCTCATCCACAACAAAGTATATAACCAAAAACTTTCTAAATTACCCCTCACGAATAAATTATTTTTGCCTGTGATGGATGATATCGAAAAACTATTGACGTAAGACTTTTTGCCAAAGTTTTATTTTCTTATTTTTTTCAGTTTACATTTTCGTTTTGGTTCTTTAGATTATTTATTTCAGGGAATATCTTGTGTTGATTGGTCAATTAGATAGTTTTTCCAATAAATGTCATGACAACCAAAAAGGTAATTACTATTCTAATAATAAAGTTGATACGTCTGTCTGAGATTTCTAAACAAACGCCAAAATTTATGTGAAAACTACCGTTTATAAGATGTCTTATCATTAATACCCGAAAAAGACTCGAAAACCCTTAATGGAACGCAACAAAAATTATATGTTACAAGAACTTCATCTACGTAGTCAAAAGATGATCTTTTGATATCTTGATGGTTTTAGAAGCTCTATAAATAAAAATTCAGCTTCCATATATTTGTATTCACAAAACTCAACCTAGCCTATGTTGATAGGTTGACTTGATATATGTTCACAACATAGCTGTTGAACTGTAGCGTGTATTTATACACTTCTTATTCCGAAGTTAAAAAAAAATAAGCCACAGCGTAACGTAATCGGGTTCAGCTTTTATGAATATAAATCTGTGCAATTAATGTACATCATTTAAATTTTATTGTGATTCTATTCCTCGATTAACTAGAACGAAGTCGCGAGCGTAAGCTAATAATTACAAAACACTTACTGTGTAGGTGACACAGTAAGAAAACAAGAGAGTATTAGAGAATACAGTGTAATTTTTAAAACGTATAAGTTATTAAATATAATTTAGTCCAAGTTATTAAATTTATTTTTGATTTAATTTCACAGTTTTATTTGTGCATTTGGTTTTTATCTTTAAGTAATTATTCCACTAATATATGTTTGATCTTAAGTAATCTTAATAACTTTAAGAAGTATCCAGTGTCAACAATTGTAGATAAAACTTTTTAAATAATAAAAAAAGCATGACTAAAGTTAGAAATTTGTCCCTGAACAGTTTAAGCAAGGCCAGACACTAATCTCTAATACAGTTCACCTACCTTGTGTGATCCATTGGGTTATTTCACCAGAAATTTAAATGAATGTCTAATATATAAGAGTTTATGGTTTTTAGGGTTCCGTACCCAAAGGGTAGAACGGGACCATATTTCTAAGGCTCCGCTGTCTGTCTGTCTGTCCTTCTGTCACCAGGCTGTATCTCATGAACCGTGATAGTCAGACAGTTAAAATTTTCACAGATGATGTGTTTCTGTCGTCGCTATAACAACAAATTTAGTATAAACACAACAGAATAATTTTTTTTTATAGGGTCTCCCATTCATCAGAAATAATTTTTTTTGCCGTTTTTATAGATTTTACAAAGATACCGTGTTTATAGATTATAGCGTTTCATAGCATTTTATTTATTCAAACTAATAATTTATCGAAATATTTATTCAAATAACTATTAATGTGATTATCTCTATTTGTCCCTAGTTATAACTACAACTTCGCTATTGTGTTAGAATTAATAGACCTCTGCGATATAGATTATAGATTGAGATAGGCTTTTGTTTAAAAAATAATAGATATAAAGTTTTCTACGGCTATTTTAAAATGTAATAAAGATTATTCTTTCACTGTTTATGCTTATTGTTAAAAATGAAGACTGTTTCACATATGTACAGTTATATATCGCCAAATGAGTGATGTCTGAAAG